TCACCTGTTTAGTCAGAGAGAGATTTCTTCTTCTCTGGCTTTATGTACAGTAGATAAAAAGCAGATTCATGGCTTCAAACTATCGTGTGTCTTTCGTAGGTAGATGTTTCGACTTGACAAGTTGCGCAATTCTGGCAGCTGCTACAATTCAGACCGTTACAGATATGGGCAGGAAGGAGCTCGGGCCACCGCCTCCCGCGCCGCCCATTCTGGAGATCGCGACTTTTGAGTAGAAACGAGCGCGCTTTCATCGGACCAAGGTCCGCGTTCACTCCGCCAAATCCTCCTCCTCTCCCCCTCCCCTAACGACGATCAGACCCAGTGGTCTTCACCACAACCTCCAACTCATCCTCGTCTACTCACAGCTGCGGACTGACAGGCCCATGGTCCGATGAGCCGGGTACAAGATTGCTTTGCGATGCTCCATCTAAGCAGTCCTTCATCCACGTCTACTTGCCTGTGATCAGCTCCGAACACGGACCTCGCCAACAACCAACGTTAGGCGAGCTGCCTTTCTTTTCATTCCCTTCCCCGCGACTAGAGCAACAAAGCGATAAGCTACTGCGATGCATATTATAAAGCCAGTCTGGCTGACACATGGGGGTATGTTTCGAGACCTTCTGTCGTCAAACGAATTTGCTGGGCAGAATCATTCTCCCTTCATATGTGCTGGCGCGGTCGGTGTCTCTCGAATCGGCTTAAGCTAACTGTCTTCCTTCTTGGATATTCTTTACAGGCGAGAGAAAGGATTTTGAAGTATACAGTTGCGATGTATCTCCCGATGGATCTCGCTTGGTCACAGCGGCTGGAGGTCAGTGATGGGCAATCCCGCCCCCCGGACATAGGTGCACTCGTGGTTTGATGGGATGAGCGCTAACTGGGAATGTTTCCCTTCGCGCTTCTCAGATGGTTATGTTCGGATCTGGTCTACGGAAGCGATTTGCAATACAGAGGACCCGCAGTATGCCAGTAAGCCGAAGCAGCTGGCTTCCATGAGCAATCACTCCGGCACGATTCACACGGTCCGATTTTCGCCCAACGGGAAATACTTGGCGTCGGGGGCAGATGACAAGATTGTGTGCATATACACACTGGATGCCAACCCTCCATCTCATGCGTCAACGTTCGGTGGGTACCAGGATGTCCGCGATAATGTGGTTCGGCTGAACGAACGCTGGCTAATGGGCTCGTGCTACGATTTCTAGGCTCAAACGAGGCACCCCCTGTGGAGAATTGGCGCACCATTCGAAGATTAATCGGCCACGACAACGACGTTCAAGATCTAGGCTGGTCGTACGATTCTTCCATTCTGGTCTCCGTTGGCTTGGATTCCAAGGTCGTGGTATGGTCGGGACACACATTCGAGAAGCTCAAGACCCTGTCTATCCACCAGAGCCATGTCAAGGGGATCACCTTCGACCCTGCAAACAAATACTTCGCTACGGCGAGCGACGATCGCACGGTTCGCATTTTCCGATTCACGTCGCCTGCTCCTAATTCCACCGCCCATGACCAAATGAACAACTTTATTCTCGAACAGACCATTACTGCACCCTTCTCGAATTCGCCCCTCACCGCATATTTCCGTCGTTGCTCGTGGTCGCCAGATGGTATGCATATCGCGGCCGCGAATGCGGTCAACGGCCCCGTGAGCTCTGTCGCGATCATCAATCGGGGGACATGGGACGGTGACATCAACCTCATTGGGCACGAAGCTCCTGTTGAAGTGTGCGCTTTCTCCCCGCGACTGTACTCTCCGGAGCCAATCAACAAGCAAGCCGTGGATACTCAAGGTCATGCGGTGCACAACGCCGTTACCGTTATTGCTTGCGCAGGAGGGGATAAATCCCTTAGTATTTGGATTACTAGCAATCCCAGACCGATTGTGGTTGCGCAAGAGCTAGCTGCAAAGTCGATATCTGATTTGGCCTGGAGTCCGGACGGAAAGTGTCTCTACGCAACCGCGCTCGACGGTACGATTCTTATGGTTCGGTTTGAAGATGGCGATCTCGGATATACAATGGAAATGGAAGAGAACGAGAAGTCGCTTACAAAGTTCGGCACTAATCGTCGAGGCGCGGGGATTGCAGAGACTACGGATGGTCTACTACTGGAGGAGAAGAGCAAGGCTGGAGAAATCAAAGGCGTCGAAGGTCGCATGGGGGCTCTGATGGGCGACGACCACACAACAGCCGAGGCCACGGCCAATGGTAAACCAGTGCCAGCACAGTCGAATGGCGTCACTACAACTTCTGCTCCATCACCCGCATCAGATGCCCAAAAAGCCCAGCCCAATGGTACAGCAACGACAACAACGGCACCGGAGCCGGAGAAGCCTGACCCTTACCAGGCAAAACTCGAGAGGTTGAAGCAGCGTCCCACATATACGAAGGACGGAAGAAAGCGGATAGCTCCTCTTTTAGTGTCTGGAGCTGGCGCTGCCGAGTCATCACTCCCTCAGTCTCGACTAATGGCGTCAGTCAGCAGTCAAGTCAAGGCTGATACCCCGCAATCGATTATTGATCTCTCGAAGCCTTTCGACGGGCTACCCAAGGGCGGGCTCCCAGCGATGATTCTTGGAAACAAGCGCAAGCTCGCTCAACTTGAGGGTGACGATGATGGGCATGTCGAGAAGCGTGTGGCTTTGGCGAGCCAGAACGGGGCGACCCCGATTCTTGCCCACACGGCCGACGGCTTGCTACCTGCGCAGTCCCAGCCCGCACCAGAAGGCCAGCAACAAACGCCAGAGTATATACGGCCTGCAGTCACGAATCCTTGCATGGCCATTAGCCAGCTCCGGCTGGCTGTTCCCAAGATTCGAAGTCACATCCTACGGGCTATCGACCCTACAGGCAAACCCACGGAGCCTCCGGGCACATCCAGCGAGTCTAGCAAATCACGAGTTGATGTTATCTTCGAAGCCCGTAACCCGTCCCCGGCAAGCTTGACTGGACGGGTCGTTGACCGAGAACCCGTTCGACTCACCTTGTTCCGTGGCGAACAGCCCTTGTGGCAGGATTACCTCCCGCGCCCTGTTTTGCTGGTGACAGGTAATCAGAGCATGTGGGCTGCAGCCTGTGAGGAGGGGTCTGTGTACATTTGGACTCCAGCTGGACGTCGCTTAGTCAGTGCGCTGGTGCTGGAAGCACAACCAGTGATTCTCGAGTGTAATGGTCCTTGGATTCTCTGCATCACAGCTGTGGGTATGTGCTACGTCTGGAATGTGAAGCACCTCTCCTCGCCCCATCCGCCCATCTCCCTGCAACCGGTGCTCGATGCGGCCATTCACACATTGGGCACTCAGCCTACGACTGCTCCCGCAATCACCAATGCTCGAATCAACTCCGAAGGCCGGATAGTGGTCGCATTGACAAATGGTGAGGGGTACTCCTATTCCCCGTCCATGTACACATGGCAGCGGATTTCCGAGAGCTGGTGGGCCGTCGGCAGCCAGTATTGGAACACCACGGATGCACCTGTGGGCAACCTTCAAGCGGCCGATGTGCAGCAGGATAAGGCAGCCAAGGCAGCCGTGTCCGCCGGCATTGTACCGTTCTTGGAACGCAATACAACCAACGAGACATTGCTGCGGGGTCGCGCGTACTTCCTGCAGCGGCTGATCAAGGTCCTACTTTCACGCGAGGGCTACGAAGGCTTTGAGTCCAGCGTATCCATCGCTCACTTGGAGAATCGCGTGGCTGCCGCTCTCTCTTTGGGAGCCAAGGATGAATTCCGTCTCTACCTTTCGATGTATGCCAAGCGTCTAGGTGCGGAAGGACTGAAGATGAAGGTGGAAGAGCTCCTCAAAGGCCTGATTGGTGGTCTGTTTGAGGAGGATGACACGGGTAGCGTTCGTCGTCTGCAGGACAATGAGCAAGAGGATCGGAATTGGCGCGAGAGCTCCGAGACGCTCTGTGGCTGGCCACGGGAAGTGTTGCTCAAGGAAGTTATATTGTCGCTCGGTAGGTTCTACCTTCTCTGTTTGCACTACGTTTGTTGTTCCTTGCTAACCAGGTCACTTTCTAGGCAAACATCGGGATCTCCAGCGGGTGACGGTGCCATATGCGAAACTGCTGGGGATGGTGGACAACGAATCGGAGGTGGGCGATGCCATGGAGACGTAGACTTCTTTCCTTGCTGCCGCTTCAAACCGATGATCTGCGTTTGGCGTTCTGGTGGCGTTGCGTAGTCAAACTCACTCCATACCGATCGGGGGACGGATGGATGTATGCATGCATGGGTTTGAGGGAGGGGTTCTTTTTCTTTCATTTCCTTATTTTCTTTAAGCATCATGCGGACCGCGCTTGCGGTATTATGTACTATATTGAAGGTAATCTTGACCATGGTCAGAGGTGTTTATTGCAATCAGGTACCGCTGCTGCTACAGCTACGTGCTCTGAATGAGTACGCGATGCTGCAGTGCTTCTGTAGAGTGTACTGTACTGTCAACCATGGGGATCAACCATGGGAACGACATGACGGTGATGATACCGGGCTTACAGGGCCGGCGAGTCATGTGGGCGGTGAGCTGCGAAAAAATGGAACTGGGCGTCTCTTCTCCACCGCACAGAACATGAGAAGAGAAGCAAGCGTCATACTTTGTTCCAGTTTGTTGCTGCGTTGCTTTGTTCAGCTTAACCATTCACCATTCCGATCACCTTCACTTGAATTGGGAAACCCATTGGGCCTGTAAAATATCTTTCAAGTTTCCAATCCTAAACCCATCCCTCCCTTCGCAATTTCTGCCCACAGCATTGCTGGTGGGCACCGTCATCACGTCTCTTTCACAGCCGGGCCACCTGCTGTTACTTTCATTCCGCTTCCATCGCTCCGCAGCTGGTCCTGCTTTGGCCTCGCGCCTGATCCAATCTCAATCTCTCTTCCTTAACCCCTCCTTCTCTTCCTCCTCTTCTACCTCTGCTTTCTCCCCCTCTTTCTCCTCCCCGCTCTCCTTCCTCTCCCGCCGGTCCTATTCCAGCAAGAAGAAGAAATCCTCCAAAATGCCCCCCAAGAAGGCTGTTGTGCAAGAGAAGGTCCTTCTGGGCCGCCCAGGAAATAACCTGAAGAGTGGTATCGTATGTGAGCATTGACCCCACCGACTAATTTTCCCTCTTTTCTTTTTTTTTTCCCTGCCCGTTCTGCTGGCTGCTGCCCCTCCCAGCCTTCCGAATTTTTTATCCGTTCCCCTTTCTTACCCTATTTAACCTCGCTTCCCCTGCATGAAAAAAATCTCTTCTCTTCTTCTTCCCCCCTCAACACCATAATTCCCACACAATTCCCTGGTCGGAATCAAGGAACACGAAGATGGTTTAACATCTTTCTAGGTTGGTCTCGCCAACGTCGGCAAGTCCACGCTCTTCCAGGCTATCACGAAGTCTACGCTGGGTAACCCCGCCAACTTCCCCTATGCCACCATCGACCCCGAAGAAGCTCGTGTCATTGTCCCCGATGACCGCTTCGACTGGCTGTGCGAGCACTACAAGCCCAAGTCCGTGGTGCCTGCCAACTTGACCGTGTATGATATCGCCGGTCTGACCCGCGGTGCCTCGACTGGTGCTGGTCTCGGTAACTCCTTCTTGTCTCACATCCGTGCTGTCGATGCCATCTTCCAGGTCGTGCGTTGCTTCGACGATGCTGAGATTATCCACGTTGAGGGTGACGTTGATCCCGTTCGTGACTTGAACATCATCAGCGAGGAGCTGCGTGTCAAGGATATCGAGTTCGTCGAGAAGGCGCTCGAGGCTCTCCAGAAGCAGACCAAGCGTGGTGGTCAGAGTCTGGAGATGAAGAAGCTGCGTGAGGAAGAGGGCACTGTTGCCAAGGTCCTCGAGTGGCTGCGCGAGGGCAAGGATGTCCGCAAGGGTGATTGGGGCCCTAAGGAGGTACGTTTATACTTTCCCCCTTCTTTTGCTTTTTTTTTTCCCAGCCCTTCTACCCCACTATTATGATGAATAAGAGCATCGCTCGAATATAACCCAGCTCGTCGAGTGGCCTCATTTTATTTACAACGCAGAGGCCACCTTGAGATAAAATCCTATCTGATATTTTACTTTCTATCGCTGTTCATACCGAATATCGCGTGATGGAAATGGAGTCCTAATCAGTGTCGCTCTAATAGGTCGAGACTATCAACCCTCTCATGTTGTTGACGGCTAAGCCCGTTGTCTACCTGGTCAACCTGAGCGAGAAGGACTACATCCGCCAGAAGAACAAGTATCTGCCTAAGGTGTTCGACTGGATTAAGACCAACTCCACCGGTGACCCTCTGATCCCCATCTCCGTCTCCTTCGAGGAGCGCCTGACCCGGTTCGAGGACGAGGCTGCCGCCCTCGAGGAGTGCAAGAGCCTGAACACCAAGTCCGCTCTGCCCAAGGTGATCACCACCATGCGTCAGTCGTTGAACTTGGCCAGTTTCTTCACCACTGGTACCGACGAGGTCCGTCAATGGACCATCCGCAAGGGTATCAAGGCCCCTGCCGCGGCCGGTGTCATCCACACCGACTTCGAGAAGACCTTCATCCAGGCCATCGTGTACAACTACGCTGTCCTCCGTGAGTACGGCGACGAAGGCGCCGTCAAGGCCGCCGGTAAGATCATGACCAAGGGCAAGGATTACGTCGTCGAGGACGGTGACATCCTGCTGATCAAGGCCGGTGCTGCTCGCAGCTAGATGTAGTCGTTGGATGAAAATGACTTGTAGCAATTAAAAATGAAATTGTTATGAATTATCAATCTCTGAAACCGAGTAACTTGTGTGCGTAGAAAAGGCGCTACCTTGGGGGTCGATCTGCTACAGGGACTGTATTAAAAGCATCTCACATTTCTTGAAGCGCACCTGCGCCAGAAACTATTCACTGAGGTCCTACACGATTCCGGACGCGGTTTTGTACTGATTGCTGGTTGCGTCACTGGCCAGTAGTACTCGTCAGAGCTACTTACGGTGTGCTCCTATACAGTGCAGCTAATTGCCTTCTGCATTGTTGCCTTGTTACTGTTGTCGTGATGTCTTCAGTACAGCCAACGCTGTTTCTCGTCCTCTCCTTTGGTAAATGACCTCTGAATTGGCTCTTGACAAGTTCATACATGATGATTCAGTCAAAGGTACAATCAACGAAGATAATGGGGTACGACGAGCTGGAAGGAAAACGGTGCCCATTCGTGGACCCAAGCACCCTCAGTCGTAACTTAACTTGCCCGGGTAGATGTAGATCAACGGGAACAATAGGAAGCAGCAGTAGTCCGACATAGTTGAATGATGGTCCATCGACATGCGTGTGAGCTTGTCGAGCTGGGAACAGAGAATGGGAAAGAGTATGAAGCACGTGACCCGTCGCCTTCCCCGCAACGCCCATCTTGCAGATAATGCCATCCGCCGCGCTCCCAACAACCGGTTCCGATATCCACAGCATTAGACACCATGTTCAAGAAAGAGTGAGTTTTGTGGCGGTGACTGGAGAGAGATATTTCTGGCATGGTCTCATTCTCAACATCAATTTCCCGCATGCCATCACGAGAACCACAGAAACCTGCCCCTCAAGGGAATCATTCTTACCCCGCCTACACTTCCTTTCCCAAACTATTTACAATTTTGCTCAGTCCATTCCCTTAAACTGTCGATTATTCCCCTCCCACCAGCAACCCTTCTATGTTCCGTTGTGTAAAGCCCAAGCTGATTGTTTTCCGATGGTGCCAGGATCCCCCCGAGCAACCGCTCGAAAGTCAAATCCAGCGTGCAGCGCGCCCTGCGCCAACGCTTCCTGGAGACCTACCCGGGCTTCGAGCCGTACATCGAGGAGGTCCTACCCAAGAAAGCCCAGCTGGATGCCGTGAAGCTGTAGGTCGCCCCCCGCCCCCCCGCCCGGGGTTCTCTCGAGATCCGATAGCTAATTGGAAAAACTGCATCTGCACAGTCCCGAAAGAGCAACCCTCTACAGCATCGACTCCACCCCGCTCTTCTTCCAGCCGCTCGACGGCCCGCCCATCCCGCACCTGAAACTCCTGCACGCCTACCCGGACGCCCTGCCCACGGTGCAGATCGACCGCGGCGCCATCCGCTTCGTGCTCTCGGGCGCGGCGCTCATGGCCCCCGGGTTGACGTCCCCGGGCGGCAAGTTGCCTGATACAGAGCATGCGGTGGAGGCGGGCCAGGTCGTGGCGGTTAAGGCCGAGGGGAAGGAGACGGTTTGTCTGGTGGGCGTGTTGAAGGTCGGCACCGAGGAGATTAAGGCCAAGGGGAAGGGGGTCGTTTTGGATGAGGGCCATTATTTGGGGGATGGGCTTTGGAGGATGACTTTGGATTAAACTACGTTTTTTTTTTGTCTTATTGGAGGTGGGGAATGGGGAGGAGGGCTTTTTTGGTGTGTAGTAGGCTTGCGGCTGGGCTGGGTTCTGTTTATGTCGAAGATGAGTGCACGCTTTATTCTTGATACCATTGCTTTGCAGCTAAATGGATGCATTGGATTTTCTTTTTCCGTTTCGGGGTTTATGGTCATGGGATTGAGAGAGAGGGAAAAACTCGTATATACATATTTCTCCGAGATTCTACTTTACGTCTACACCGGACGAGACACAAATCATTCCAGTTCGGGAGGCCGCGGGGACAGCGGCGACGTCGGCGACAGCGAGGACCACGACGGCGTCCGCATCGCCAGTCCCAGCCCCTTCACACTCGTGCTGGACCCGTTCATCCCCATCCCCATCCCCATCCCCGCCCCGGACAGCTGGAGCCCGCCATCCCTTAGCCCCGCGCGGGTCACCGCCCGCTGCAACATCTCCCCCGTTCCGTCGAGGGCGATCAGGAATCTCGCCAGCTCCGCACACAGGTCCCAGTCGCTCTTCTTCGACGCCAGGTACATCAGCCGGACCACGTAGTCCTCGATCGGGGCGTCGTGGTCGTCCGCATCATCCTCGAAGGCTTGCAGCACCAGCAGATAGCCCACGGCGGTCTTGAGGGACCCGAGCTTGAGGGCCTGCTCGAAGAGGTCTTTCGGCGACGGGAGGTAGGTGAACAGGGTGCGCCAGGAGCGCAACTCCGTCTTGCGCGTGCATTGGACCACCACGTCCAGGTACACCTTGGTGGGTAGAGATGCTTGTAAAAAGGAGATGACGATCGGCAGCAGGGGCTCGCGTCTCAGGGAGGGGTCGTCGACCTTGCTGTCTCGGCTCTGGTTGTCGACCTCATCGTCCAAGACGTGGTGAAGGAGGATCTCGAGGGCGTGCGGAAAGTAGGATAGGTGGGAGAAGTGCTGGCACAACGACAGCGCTGCAGGCATGTCGCGCTGTGTCAGACTGTGCTGAAGGAAGTACGGCAGGAAAAGGTGTGTCTATTGGAGTTAGTGCTGCACCGGCGTCGATCTTTGCGGTAGATACTCACTCGAATGGCGAACTTCAGCACGGAGAAGGTGACATCGCGTCGCTGGGTCATCTCGGCTTCCACACCCAGCACGATGCCCTTGTTCAGGAGAACAGACAGCGGATAAAAGTCCAGCGGGACCTCCAGCGGTCTGACTACATCTTCCCGCTGGAGAACATCCTGCACATCACCCCAGGCAAGGAGCTCTTTCCCACAAAATGTCCATAGCGAGTCCCTCAACGAAAAGTCACCGCGGTACATACTCAAGGCCATTTCAGCTGATGGACTAGCCGGAAGCGACTCGTCGACAGGCGCAAAGTTGAATGATAACTGATCTCGCATCAGGATATAGTATTCGACGTCGTGGGATACCACCCGCATGTCGTATTTCAAATCGCCAGTCTCCGAGAAGGATGGCTGCAGCAGGACCAAGTTGCCATCAACCAAAAGAAGCACAGATGCCACTTTGACATCTTGGGAAGGGTCGCCGTTCCCTGTTTGCTTTTTATTAGATCTGGCTGTCGCAGGGTGCTGGCACACTTACGCATTTGGTCTTCGGGCAAAATCCAACTGATTGCCCGGACCCTGGTTGGCGCGCGCACAATCCCATGAAATGCAATCTGCCCAACGGGCACCAACGTTATTCGGGAGTGAGCTGAATTGATGATATAGTGATAAAGAATATTGTCGTACGTATAAACGAGCAGCGAGTCCTCGCCTGATGCTCCGACAAAGACTACCGGCGACGGTAGGTATTCAATATGTAAGATAGATTGATTGTTGAGAGGCATTTCCCGCGAGTACAACCGCAACTTCGCAGTCGATCAGTATAGCCACGGTCAGACATCGATGGCACACTTACCTCGTAAGATCCATCATTGTCAATGGCGGCGATCAGAATGTGTCCGTACCAGCACATGCCCCCGCGTACCGCGAAGGAATTCTCAATTTTGGGATCCTCAAACACTTTCCAACGGCCGCTGTTGACACTGTAGTGTGCCAGCCCTCGTCTGCCCGCAATAGCAACATATCTTCCATCCTGTGAGACAACACTAGAGCGAATCGGCCACTGTGAGTGAAGGTAACTCGGAGGATATTGAGCATGATGCCACAGCGAGTCCTTCCCCGAGATGGTCATGAGATCTGGTAGATCATGACCACGGTAGAGGATAACCTCGGTTCCAGTTTGCAGCAGTCCTCTAGCCAGGTTCGCAGACGAATAACAGCCTGTCAAAGCGCTCCGTGCTGTCTCCAGAATCCACAAGCGACGGTCGTTCTGGCCTGTAAGTATGACTTCTGACCCTCCACCGATCCAACAACCATGAGAGGTTCCAGTCACCCAGTTTTCGCCGTTTGAATTAGCAAGAGATCGGTCCGCCGCAAAGCTACTCTCCCCCGACTTTCCAAAAACGCTCCATGTTGTCCAACCATGCTCATACCCGGCAAACAGGCAGTACCCGTCTGGCGAATAGCTCATAAATGTGACACTGCCCGTCGTGTTTGGCGAAGCTGGGAGCTGTAGTTTGTGCGATAGAGGAACATTGCCCAGGTAGTCCTTGGCTGTGTAAACTAGAATCTCTCCGTTGGCGCAGCTCACTGTGAGAAGAGAAAATCGTGCATTGACTACAACCTTGACAGCTCTCTCGCCATCATCCTTGGGGTCGTGGAAGCAATGGCCTTGGAACAACTTCTTGGAGTCATCCGAGTCTTCTGCGGCTCGCTGCACGGCATACGCCTGCCCCTCGTTGGTGACCCAAATCAACAGGTTGATAGCACGATCATACACCATGTCTGTAATTGATGTGCGCTTCGAAACCCCCAGGATCCGACTAAGGAGTTCCGACTTGGTTTGCGAACCGTCCGCATCCGGGTTCCAACGAATGCATTGGATGGCCGCAGGCTTGACAGTCGCGACAACGAGCTCATTATCAAGTGCGAGAGCCTTGGCAATCCCCGACTCTATCTTGATAGCCATTCGGAATCGAATGCTGACATCTCGAACGCCAGTAGCCTCTTCCTCCGCGGCTAACCGAGCGAGCGTCTGGCGGCGGGTAGAAGTCGACGTAGATTGATCAAAGAATTGTTGATATACACGGGTGTTAGGGCTGACAGAGATGGTATAGGTAAGAAGATATCCGGTCAGCGTCTGAGCAACAAGTATATTCGAGTCGGGATGCATCAAGAGGGCCACATTGGGACCATAGTTCTCTAGCGACGAGACGGACCGAGCAACGGCAGCAACAACGGCGGTGGGCTATTTCAGCCGTCAGCATGCGCGCTTTACCCAACAACATCAGCGATGGCTTCACTTACTCTTGTCTGCCAGAGAGCGATCGATGACTTGGTCATCGTCGCAAACATATAACCACTCCGAGAGACACAAAGGCCGGCAAGAGGCTCGTCAGCCCACGCCGTCTCTGCAATGACCGGTTTATCACGGGCATTTTCAGTGTTCAGTGCCTCCTCCTGCGCCGTAGGGCTATCGTAGCTCAGGGATTCGTCATCGTCAGATGTGAGAACCGGTATTCCAGGGCCATTGATCGCATAGACCCGGGGGACTCCATAGGGCCAGTACATGGCTCGGTGCAGGCGCGAGAGTCACGGAGTAGAGCAGCTTCACATCGAGTCATCTTTGGTTCACGCTAAAACATCAGATTGCCGGACTCGAGACAGAGATTCCCCCGTATCTGCCGACCATGTCCGTTCAAATAATTGTCCCGACTGCGCTGTAGATTTGATGGATTGGAGTACCGGAAGTTAATATGAGCTGGATGGCAGCCGAGAGCACGGGGGCTATCACGTGCAGGGAAGCTCCCGGAGCAAACAAACCAAACAAGACTAAGAGCCCCCGCATCCTAAATTCCGCCTCCCCGCCGACTCTTTTGGCCAGCAAGATAATCTCTCCCCCTTTCGCATTGAACCCAATTTGCTCACATCATGGTAGGTGGGCTCCTTTAGTGTTAAATCGGCATACACTTTCTCCCCGGACTAGTTTCTGACGTGTCTTATCATCTAGGCTCCTACCGAGTCCAAGAAGCGCTTGGCGCTTGCTATCATCGACTTCCTAGGTGCCAGCTTGAAGGATGGCACTCTCGGTGCTGATGACGCCGAATCCATCGAGATCGCCCAGTCCTGCATCGCGGATACGTTCAAGGTTGACCCCTCCGACGAGGCGGCTGTTAAGGATGCTCTTGGTGGACAGTCTCTAGCCAGCATTTACAGCGTTTATGAGAAGCTGCGGAACAAGCCCGCTGCCGGCGGTGCTGCGACGGAGGAGAAGCCCCAGAGCGGCGCTCCCACCCCGGAATCCGACAAGCTGAAGTCGGAAGGAAACGCTGCCATGGCGCGCAAGGACTACAGCGGTGCGATCGACTTGTACACCCAGGCTCTGGCCATCGCCCCCTCGAACCCTATCTACCTCTCCAACCGGGCCGCTGCCTACTCCGCCGCCGGACAACACGAGAAGGCGGTCGAGGACGCGGAGCTTGCCACCGCCGTCGACCCCAAGTACTCCAAGGCCTGGAGCCGTCTGGGTCTGGCTCGTTTCGACCTGGCCGACTACCACGGTGCCCTCGAGGCCTACGAGAAGGGCATCGAGGCCGAGGGTAACGGTGGCAGCGAGGCCATGAAGCGGGGTCTGGAGACCACCAAGAGAAAGATCGAGGAGTCGAAGCGCGGTGCGGAGCCCCCCTCTGACGCCGTGGATGATGCCGCTGGCGCGTCTCGCGGTGCCGGCGGTATGCCCGATCTCTCTTCCCTCGCTAGCATGCTAGGAGGCGGCGGCGGTGGTGGTGGTGGTGGCGGTATGCCCGATCTTAGCTCTATCATGAGCAACCCCATGTTCGCCAGCATGGCCCAGAACTTGATGAGCAACCCCGATGCGCTCAACAACCTCATGAGCAACCCCCAGCTCAGACAGATGGCTGAGAACTTTGGCCGCGGAGGTGGCATGCCCGACATGTCTTCTTTGATGAGTGACCCAAGCATTGCCGATATGTAGGTTCTCTCCCAATTATTGCTCAAATTAGATAGATACTAATGCTGCGTTATTAGGGCCCGGAACATGATGGGCGGCGGTGCTGGACGGGGAGGCCAGTAATGACTAAAATATCGTCTGATGCCCGTGCAACTTTTTTATTTCTATCACTTGCGAAAGAATATTTCCCTTTATCTTCACTAAGCTCGTTGGCTGCATTTAGCTTCCTTGTTTTGTACCAAGCTTGAGGACCTTTCTGAACTCGAGAAGGAAAATAGAGACTGATGCGCGACACGCACACTTTTTGACTAAGAAGTGTAGTATATTTTTCACATTATATTCACAAACTCTTCGATGAACCTCGACTTGTAGGCCCAGGCCGTTAGGGCATCAAGCCCCAAATTTTGCCGCAAGAGCTTTTGTAAGATCTTCATCCTGAAGAGGCGGTCCTCCAGCTGAAACGTGTAAAGGATAAAAGGAACTGAGCTAAGTACTGACGCAGATGCAAAAAAAAAAAAAAAAAAATCATCAGATGAGTGGAGGAGGATTTTGCCAAACACAACACGGGACGCCCCGAAACGCCGGAAGGGAACAAGTAAACCGGGCCTCTTGTGCCCGATCAAGGTCTCTCTGAGACGACAACCCCCGAATCCAGAGATAACAAGCTCGCCAGCATCTTTCCTGAAACGAATTGGCCAACGGAAGGGGAAATTTGTGCGTGATTAATCAAGTTACTTTCACAGGTAGTTGCAGTTCATGAAGCGCCAGTTCCGCCTGGCCTCTATTTAAAAGGTCAATATTGTACAGTCGGATATGATATCAAAACATTCGAGAAGAGTAATAAGAAATTCATGGGCCGATGATCAGGACAACGGAAATATTGTTGAGGGAGCAGGGTTGTTTAAGTCAAGGAAGCCGTTTGAAGGTGATTTAAATGTAGTCACGAGCAGCCTTCTGCAGCTCGATCAATCTCCATCCACGGGTCTCCGGGTTGTTAACATCCTCAGGTATCCGAGTGAGACCGATAGCGTAGGTAACCAGCTGAACCTTGTCTTCCATACCGGCCGCGAGTTCACCAGACTTCGCGTTCTTGTAAACGTGGACCTCCTGTGTACGGCAGGTCACAACGAAGACGGGAATGTCACCAGGGTCCAACATGCGGGCATGAGAGACGTCAACTCCACGGATATCGAGGATACGACCATCGGATTTGAGACCGAGGTTAGTGTACTGCTGAGCAAGTGCAGCATAGACGTTGAATTGGGCTTCGGAAAGCCAGAGCTTAAGGGTTTCGACATCACCCTTGACGTAGGCGTCGAGGACCTCGGGCAGGATATATTCACGCATCTCCCTCAAGAATGACTCCATCTGGAAATTGGGGTCCATCTCGCGGAATTTCTTGATGACCTGAGCCGTCTCGTTCTCGGCAAAGAAACCGGCGACACGATCCGAAATGCTGCGCGCAGTGGTGATAAGAGGGTTTTCCGACTCGTCGTAGGTGTTTTTCAGAGTAAATAGCTTCTGCATCATAGGATTCGAGTCCTTGAAATCACGCCACGACTCCTTCCAAGCAGCGTCCTTGTGGAGTGTAACGTTGGTTCCCGCGCTGAAAAAACATAGGTGTCAGATGCAGCTGTTTAGTGGGTGACAGGAGAAATGACTCACTTGGGATCTTCCACCATCGGCTCGCTGCGACGACCAGACTTGGCTTCCATCTCTTCGCGCAATTTCCTCTGCTTCCGGCGCTCCTCCTTCTCAACCCAACCACCATAGCGAGAGCTGCTACCATCATCGATGGCATTCTTTACGCCTCCAACGGCGGTCTTGTAAGCCTCAGTTTCGCGAACAGGTCTCGTGACCTTCTCGATGCCGGAACCAGTGGCGTTGACACCCTTTCTAATACCCTTCACCACGGGCGTGTTCCATGTCCAGGAAGCGCTCTGGCCAATAGCCTTGCCGGTATGCTTCAAAGCGGTGGAAGTCTTGGAAGTCGCGGCCCCAGAGGCAGCTTCGTAAGCGGCACGAGCCCGCTTGACGTTCTCGTTCTCGGTGAACTGGTGAGCAGAGGACGCGAGGGCCTTCGTTGACTCATTCCACTCCTTTGATGCCTTGAATTCAGTTTGGAGAGTTTCCCTGAAGACTTGCCAGGGAGTCTTGTCGCCGTGGGGAGGGGGAGGAGGGGCGTCCTTCTTCTCGCCCTCCTTCTGATCTTCACTCTTTCCCTCGCTCGATTCCTCTGACTGTTTCTCCTTTTCTTGCTGCGGCTGCTGCGGCTGCTGCGGCTGCTGCTGCTGCTGTTGTTGCTGTCTGAGGGGGGTGGCAACATGGAAGGACCTGGTCAATGGCAGAGCGGCGTAGGGCGAGAGGAGGTGAGGAAGTGTTGTGCGCTGTTGATTTAGGGATGGAATGTTCCGGATTGCTGGCGATGTCGAAAAGGAGCAAGTCTGCACCAACGAGTGCTGGCTGTAAGCAGTCTTCAGGCTCGGGACATAGGTCCGTAAAGTGGCCGCCCGCGCGGTGGCCGACATTTTGGTGGCGGAGATCATGCTATACAGAAGGAAAACCACCAAGACTATAATTAACCCAAGGTCCCGAAGGATAGAGGTTTGTGAGAGGAAAAAGGCCCCGAATGGTTTTGGGGAGTGAAAGGTTGGAAGGGTAGAAGTGACCTGGGGAAGAGGAAGAAGCGATGTCGGCAGTTGCTCCAAAGGGAAAGGAAAAAGTCGAGATGCGAAAAACGCCAAGCATCGATAAAATTCGGCCCTCTTCCGCCGCCCTTTCGTTCCGGCCCAGTGTCGCGCCGCTCGGCAGTGTGTACAGCGCCTACAGCAAATAATCAACGCTTGCCTTCAGTTCATTGCATCGGATTGGCAATCAGTCGTGTACCTTATCGCGTTTACCGAGAAGTCAGTCCGGAATTGTCCTTTAATCAGCAAAGCGCCTTTGCGCAGCAACAACATCCTCCGCGAGAAGTTACACCAAGATGAACGCATCGTTTGTGAGTGCCCTGACGAGGGCGCTGCCGTCGATCGGCAGACCTCTTCAGCTTCGGATTTCTCCTCTCAGTTCGATAAGGTCATTCTCATCAACTCCGGCGAAACCGGCGAACACCTCTGGAGAGGCCCGTGATTTGGAGAGGCAGATCCTGGGCATAAAACCCAAGGTCGCTAACTCCGACAACCAACACTCTGCGCTCGATGAACTCTTCGGTTCTACAAGCCTCCGGTCTTCTGAGAAGACAACTTACAGCTTCCAGAAGTTGCAAGGTAGCCTGGAAGCCGAAATGGTCGGACAACCTTATGTCGACCGGTCTCCCCCCTACAATCTCCATGTTTATGCCCACAAGCACAACACGATCTTGACTTTAACTCGACCCAATGGCAACCCGATGTTGTCTCTCAGCTGTGGTCATCTTGGTTTCCGCAAAGGTGGACGTTCTGGTTTCGACCCGGCATTCCAGTTGACCTCTCATTTCTTTGCCCAGATGCAGGAACGGGGCTACATGGTGGAAATCAAACGCATGACACTCATTTTCCGCGACTTCGGACTTGGCCGGGATGCTTTCACCAAAGTCTTGCTGGGTAACGAGGGGAAGCACATCCGAGGCACGATCTGTCGCGTATCGGATTCCACCCGCGTCAAGTTTGGTGGAACGAGAAGCAGACATGTACGGAGACTGGGTTAGGAGAATCGCCGCTTTAGGAGTTCTGTCTGGAGCTATATGTTTTTACTCGAAGCAAAATATCAGGGTACGGATTAGCTAGCGGGGAAAGAGCAAGGGTACAATTCTGTGATACACCAGGTCTGTATGCCGGTGGAGTTCTTTGGATCGAGAAGAGCGTCTCTTCTCAGCGCTTGCAACGAGATCGGCTGCAGGCTCACAGCACTGAAACTATCACCGGCTCGACAACTCGATCGGGAGACGATGAGGCCTTGCGCTACCCACGATGTTCTCTTTTCGCCTATTTCGCCTTATTCGCCTATGTATACTATCTATTGTCAGCCTATTACTGCGACTTGGGACATCTTTCTATATGAATCACACCAATAAGAACCGTGTAAATACATCCAATCCTATGTAGAGTGTACACTCTAGGCACTGCAACTTATCTGTAGGTAGTAAATGTGGAGGATGCCCAAAAGGGGTCTAGCGCGGAGAGCTCCCCGGGCTGCCACCCTCCGTGAAAGCTGTTGTTGGCTGAATCTTTACCACATTCCTGCCTTGCAATCGTCATTCAGCTGTGGTTCCTTCTTCTGTGCATCTCTGACACCGTTCCAGCACTGTCTTCTCCCTTACAGTGTGTTATCCCTGGCGTAATCGTTGTTGACAAAGGCTCCGTTGTCACCTGCGGGCGCATGCGCCGGAGCTGCTCATCTGTGACGATCCAGCAGCGGAGATCCCCCCCCCCTCTCTCTACGAGACCGGTCTAGAAGGCTTGATGAGTGCCAGAGACCTTGAGCCGGGCCGTCGTCCAAGACCGTTTGGATGCACCCTTTAAATCCTTTCCTCCGTGCCTTCTTCCGAAGCACTGTTCCGGGCCAGTGTATACCCATCGAGAATCATGTATGTTTCCGTTCCGGACAGCTTGGCCCGCATCTCACATGCTCAGCTCGTCGTTCTCACATTTCGTCGTATAGGTTCTCCTCGTGCCCGTGACAGAATCTCTCGTTGGGTCGCGCGACCGCGAGTCCTCCCTCTACTACTCGGACCTGGTTGTTTCGGAAGAATTCCTTGGGAGCCATACCTTGCGTATACCAGTCGCTACGGGGACTGGTGGGGGGAAGGATGACTCGAATATGCGAGACAGCAGAAGCAAGGCCAAGCAAGTAGCAACGGTAAATGGTCGCACTGTGATTATCAAGGAGAACTCTGTCTACAGCAATAAAGGTAGAAGGAGACCCCTTCCAGATTTAAAATCCTGTTTGCGCTAAACAATTGTCTGCCTCTCAAGGTTTCAAGTCCCTAAGCCAAGCTCAGTTGGTGTCTGATGCGTTATATTATCCCAACAGCAATGACTCCCAGCCATGGCTTATTTATTATATCTCCCGCCCATTGATCGGCTCATTTGACCCCGGAAGGATCATTACTGCTGTGGTGCCAGGGGCACAACCAAAAATCCATGCCGTGGGTAGTGGAATTAAATCCGGCGAGCCAGTCTCCTCGCCCCAGAAAAAGGAGATCAAAACATTCGGAGAATTGCTGGCAAACTTTCCGATGATCGCTAGACAGATGCAACCTGGCATGGAACGGCTGTTCAAGGAATTTGGGAAAGAACTCGGAAAACCTCTACCTCCACCACCATCGCGATCCCCTGTGATGTTCGAAGAATTTGAACGCAAGCAGAACCGTGAACCATCCTTTGATGAGGCTGCTTCTATTCGCTCCACACGCAGCAGGGAAGGACTTCCATTCAATTCCGAGGAGTACTTCGAGGATGACGAAGACTTAATGCGTCGCAGCCTCGAGACAGCGGTCACTGCTGCCATTGACCTGTTTCGGTTGGTGGACAAACAACAGCTGTCTTTCCTCGGCGCCACCACCGATCTTACTGGCCCATTAGTCGAACGGCTCATTGAACGTTATGTGGCGGAGCAGGTGCATGAAAACCTACTCTTCCCTCGACTTTGCAAATTTCGACTGCCGGAGGATGCCGAACTAGATTCCCGAATCCGGTACATGGAAAACATTGACATCTCTCAAGTGGGTATTGCGGTGGAAGGAGGACGGGAAGGCAAGCGGGAGTTATTGCAAAGGCTCGGCAGAGCAGTTGAAGAATTCCGCAAAATGCTCGATGCCAAGTGCCCTCACGACATGCTAAACACCTTGCTTGAGACGGTTAAGATCCTGTCCTACCCTGGCAGCTATGACAGAACAGATTCGCACTCGTCAGAAAAGCAATTTGTGCCTGTGACCATCAACGCAGATATTCTCGTCTCGTTGTTGCTTGTCGTTGTAATAAGATCTCAAATCAAGAATCTGCAGGCCCGCTTGATGTACATGCAACACTTCATCTATATTGATGATGTTGACAGTGGGGAAATGGGCTATGCACTGAGCACGCTTGAGGCTGTTCTTACTTATTTGGTAACGGATTCCGCCGGCCTTCGAAGAGCGAGTGTCAGGAACAAACGCTTATGGAATGCTACCAAGCATGGGCGCGTTGTTGACATGAAAGCAATCCTGGAGCCCAACGGGGATCAAGAATCAATAGATGACATCCCTTGTGAACCCGAGGAACGGGTGGTAGCTTTCAAGACAGGAGACGATGAGGACTCGAGCCCTATTTCCCATCTGCCTTTGCCAATACGTGATGGCGTGTCCAATACATTTGGCGATGATGGAACGATAGCTCCTGGTGCTGACTCTGAAGCCCCTCCGCTCTCCCACGTCTTCCCCTTCCAGACATGGGCGAACATTTCGCCTCCAATCGAAGTGCGACGTCCCATCAAGAAAGTCTCAATGGACGTGCGTAGCCTGTCCGAGTCATCGGCCATATCGCTCATATCCCGGACAACTACCTTGGAGTCCATCACAAGCGCAATCGAAGGCGATAGCTCTATTGAGACCCTAACCAAGACGCAGGATCCTTCTGGCGATTCTATTCCAATGATGGCGGTCGAGAGTCGCCAACCGGAGGCTCTGAAATACCTACTTAGCCTGCAAGAATATTACCCTTTGGAGGATATTCTCGAAGATTCGAACACGGAAGGCACAACACTGCTGAGTGCTGCAGTTCAGCTTGCTCACACTGACATTGTGGACATTCTGATGGATTACCTTTTTAGTGCAACTGATAAGCACACCATCGCATCGTACATGCAGAAGTCCGATATGCATGGACGTACGGTTGCTCATTACTTGTTCAGCACACCGTCAGTGATGCATAGGCTCGAGGGGCTCCTCCCATGGTGCCAACGGGACAAGCATGGACAAACACCACTCTTCGCACTGTGCCGTTCTTACGACCACCCCGATTATAAGTCAATGGTGATTGAAGCCCTGAACGCGGCCCAGAAAGCCCAAGGAGACGGCAAACCCTTGCGTCTTGACGAACATATCGACTCGAAAGGCAACACGTTGCTTCATATTGTTAGTGATCCCGAGATTACAGTCCGGATCTTACAAGGGTGTGACTGTGACCCCAATGCGACAAATGACAAAAGATTCACGCCACTCATGATGGCGAGTAAATACGGACGCATCGACCAAGTCCGAATACTGTTTGCAGACGCTCGAGTAGATGTTCACCTCAAAGAAAGTCGCGGGTTGACCGCCGTCGAGTTGGCAAAGGACGATGAGGTTCGCAATCGCATTGATGATCTCATACTTTTGTCTACGCCTCCTTCCGTGTACGATGAGCAGTCGGACCGAGTGACGACCGTTGTTCGCTCCTACTTCGTTGAAGATGCAACCGTTCGATTCGTTCTGAAATCCGGTGCGCCTAATCCGACTGCGAACTCCCAGGAATCTCGACCTGCGTCAGGCACAACGTACACCGTTACGACATGTCGCCGCACCTTCTCCGATTTTGAGAATCTTGCCCGATGCCTTTCGACCGAGCATCCAGCCTCATACATGCCATCATTGTCAGACTTTCGTAGCCCTTTCCAGATCCATTCGAAGCCGTCTCGTTCCGTGCTTCACGACATGCAAGAAAAACTGGACAAGTTTCTGAAGGCCCTACTGTCTCATCCGACCTTCGCGACCCACGAAATGCTCTGGGAGTTCTTTCTTGTTCCGGAGCTGCAGCCGGACATGATGGCCGACAGATCGCACCGGAAGGCCCAAGTTCTTGCGGAGTCAATCATGGACGATTATGCACCAGTCACCCCGGAAAGTATGCGAGAAACCGAACAGTTTGTCTCGCATGCTCAAGACATGGTTCGTGCCATTCACGTGAACACTCGCAGCCTGATTCGTCGTGGCCACGCTCTGCAAAATTCTGCGTCTGATATGGCAGACGCTTTAGCTCTCTGCTCCACCTCCATCTCTACTCTTAAGGAACCGACGCAGGCACTCCCTCGGTCTCATGTCGAGGCATTCATCCGCTACGCTTTATGTCTCTCAACCTCATCCTCTGACTCATCTCCGCTACTCCAATTTGTCGCCGCTTTCACCTCCATTGACAACACCACCACTGCTGTTCTCGCCTCCCTTTCCCGCCCTATTGGGCTCATCTCCAATCTAGCTTCCACGAACCGAAATCTCTCCCGATCTCGCTCGTCACTGCTGTCGTCATCTCTCCCACGGAAATTCAACCTCAACTTCCCCGGGTTAGAAGAGTCGCGACAAAAGTCCGTTCGTGAATTGGAAGGCAAGATCCAGGAATCCGAAGCGCAGGTGGCGCGTCTCTCCCATGAGATCACGTGGAACAAGGATGTAGTTGTCGGGGAACTCGCGGGCTGGACTTCATGGCGAGAGAAGATAGGACGGGACGCGATTCGTTCCTTTGTCAAGGCCACCTTGGTCCGTGAGAAGGAACGTGGGAGGAGGCTTGAGCGGTGTTTGAGGAGTGTGCATGAGATGCATTAATGCGATGCGGCTTTATAGTTGCCCGACTGTCATATTACGCATTGCGGGGAAGTGGTGATGGGCAGTGGGGCCATGCCAACTACCAAGTAACTATAGATTATCCTTAAGAATTCCATGTAGAAGCTACGGTACCGTCCAGTAATAATTCAATCGATTGTTGATCTATGAAGTCTTCCTACATCGTACTAGTACTTCCTGCGCCATGACCAAACCAGACACGAACCATCCTGATAAGGGGTTGTGGATAAGCACGTGAAGCACCAAGGAGTGACATAGTAGCATGCAGATGCATATTATACTGTGTCCAACCCCGGACTGTAGTGTGACGCCACTTCCATCCGTCATTTCAGCGATGATGTCATCTTAGACAAGTCAACTCACGGGTTCTATACTCCCGAAACTAGATATATTTAAACATTTTACTTTTGGCCTTTTGGTCGCAGCCTAATTCCTCTCTTCTCCCTTTCTAGTCCTTCAAATCACTTAGAATTCTTAACTAGGGATATCAACCCCTCACTACTACATAATCAACCCTCTTCTCTTCCGCTTTACTAGACATATTCTCACGGCCACCGAACTGATTCCTCCTCCCACCATGCCCCTCGTCATCCCCGGCATCAACAACACCAGCGGCGGCTCGAGCCAGGATGACTGGTCGCACAAGCTAATGGGAAAGACCGTCACCGAGGGATCGAGCGATGTGAACGTGAGCCATACGCAACCAAACCTAAATCAGGGGGGAATTTGTAACGCTAACCGTCTGATTCATGTAGTCATTCGCCAAGAAAGACCTGCCGGAGACCCATCGGATCGTCAAGCCTGGGGACATGACGACAATGGATCATAACCCTGATCGGTAGGTGGATTCTCTCTCTCTCTTTCCAGGGCATTTTGGGGAGTGTGTTTCGGAAGGCGTGGCTAACACGGGGCCGGGATACAGGTTGAATATCCATGTGGATGAGAGCGGGACGGTTCATAATGTCAACTATGGTTAAACTGCTGGAAACTTACAATGGTGATGTGGGGTGTGTGTGGATCATGATCATGATTTGTGTTTGGTCGTTGGGACCTAGATGGGATGATGGTTATGATGGGATGGATTTTATGTACTACGTTGGTTTTCATGCTATGTGAATGAAGAATGTTATATTGTCATTGGTATGGGGATGGCCGTTTCGTTTCTATCTAATTCCGTAGGTGGACTTGGGGTTTGTGTGAGGAAGGTGTTCGTGTAGGATGCGGGTTCGTTTACCTTTTACTCGGCCTTCCAGCGCAGGAGAGTGAACGAGTGCTTGGGGAAGATGTAGGAGCCCGTGGCTTCCCAGGTGCTCTCGGCGACGCCGACCTCCTGCTTGCCGTTCATGTTGCTGACGGCAAGGTTGTCGCCGGTGACGGTGAAGACGGCGACCTGGCCGGTGGGGCCGTCGATGCGGGTTTCGAGGTCCCTGTCCTCGCTGATGTTGACGACGGCGACGTTGACGTAGCCGTCCTCGCCGAGGGTGGCGCTCACGTCCAGCCAGGGGGTGTCCTTGACGCTGCGCACCCACTTGGGCGAAGTCTCGCCCTCGTAGGTCGCGCTGGCCAGGTGCGTGCTGATGGTCCAGCCGCGCATGTACTTGGAGAAGAGGTACAGCGGCCACCAGGTGGTCTGCTTGGTGATGCCGTCCGGCGAGGTCATCAGCGGCGAGATGACGTTGACGCTCTGCGCGATGCACGCCATGCCGACGTCCTTGCTTTTGCGCACGAACACGTTCAGCCACACGGCCACCGCCAGCGCGTCCGACAGCGTGTACGACTCCTCGGCGCCCTTGCTGCCCTCCGCGCGGATCGGGTCCCAGACGTTCCACTCGTCGAAGCAGATGGTCGGCCGCGGCTGGGACGGGGGCACATTGTTCTCGATCATCGCGAGGTCGATCAACGACGAGGTGATCTCGATGGCCCGCTCACCGGCCAGCGGTGCAGTGACATTGGGGAGGTGAGAGTCCGAGGTCGTGTACAGATGGATACTGTGCATATCGATCAAGGGCACGGCACTGGTGGAGAGCTCGGAGTGGGCAGGGAGAAGGCAGTGCTTCAAGGTATAGTGATCCCACGAGGCAAATCCGGTTTGGCCACAGAGAATGAGAACAAGGCTAGGGTCGAGGAGCTTGAGAGCTTCAAGTTTGTTCATTGTCAGTATCTTCGAATCATCTTGTGGTATGTTGGAGATGCAAGGAGCTAGCTACCTTTGGCCCATTGGTAGGCTTTGTGGGCATATGCTTCCTGAGTCATTTGCTCAACCTGCCATGGTCCCCAGACTTCATTGCCGAGGGCCCAGTATTTCACCTGGATCAATTAGAATGGCATATCGAGAACCGTAGACATGAAGTATTTTACTTACATTGTATGGCTCTTCGCGACCATTCTTCCGGCGGAGGTTGGCATAGTAAGTGTCCCGGGTGCCGTTGCAGTATTCAACCCAAGCAAGTGCTGCGTGAATGTGTTAGATTTGAGCCCTAAACAGAAGGCTGAAGGTTATGAGGGTAGTTATACCTTCATCAAGGGTACCTAAGTGCGATTAGTAAGGCTTCTCGACAGTGAGAGAAGCTGGTCACTCACCAGTTCCAAAGTTTAGACAGAGGTAGGGCTCGGTTCCGAGTACTTCACACCACTTCATGAACTCGTCCGTTCCGAATTGGTTGGTCTCGGTTCCCAGCCAGGCCAATTCAGGTCTAAGCAGGGCAAGCTCATTGTCAGTACGAAAGAGAAATGGCAGTCTAAGCAACTCAAAGCAGAGAAAGGAATCAAAGTCAAATAATCGAAAGGTAGTTGAACGACAGGAGGCACGATACGAAGGCAAACAAGTGCAGCAATCAAGGATGTGCCAACATACCTGGACGGCCGGTTCTCTCTGGGGCCAATACCGTCAATCCAGTGGTAGGTTGCCATAAAGTTGCCACCGGGATAGCGGACGACAGGGATGTTTAGGTCCTTCAGGGCCTCGATCACATCCGTTCTGAAACCATTCTCGTCCGACAGCTTGTTTCCCGGGTCGTAGATGCCCCCGTAGATGCATCGACCCATATGCCTTTTCGGAGGTGTTAGCCGCAAAATTCCGCTAGGGTTACAACCAATAGGGGAGCTTACTCTGTAAAGCCCGCATAGATGTTGGGGTTGATCTTGGAAATGCGCCTTGTTGGATGGATGGAAATACTAGGCGCATCCTGGTCGTTAAGCTTCGTGAAGGTGGTCATGGCGGCAAAGGAAAAATAGCAGGAAAGAGAAGGTCGAGAATCGCGGGATCCGATTGGTATGAGAGCAAGAGAAAATGTACAAAAGGGAATATAAGCAGGACTCTTTCTTTTCCCCGTAGCAGACTCAATGTATTGTTGTTGACCATGGCAGAGAGAGCCCGGCAACTAATATTAATGTGCTTCAGCCATGGGGAGAGGGCAGGATGAATCGGGCAAATCCCCTGCGGGGTGGATCCGGAGTTGTACCGAACTCAGAAGAGGGCAGGCCAACAAGGATGCATGATGGGACCGTCAGATTGCTGTACTGGAGGATGCAAGCGAGAGGTCTCGACGCCGTTGGCTTGGAGGATGAAGCCGAGGCAACGCCACGGCTAATTTCCGTCAATCAGCATGCGCCTCTCGAGTGGAAGTCGATGTACTGCCATCCCGCTTTCTACAAGCGTTGCTTGGCTACACCAGACCACACATGGCGATAGGTCATGCATGGCATGTTAATTCGATTGACTCCGCAGGTGTTATGAGTCTTGCATCTCGAGTAGGCTGGACTTGGGCCAGCAAGTAAAAAAATACCTTGTCTCGGTAGAATCCCCAAAGCGTCGTGTCTGCCAAATGATGCATCGTAATGAATCCTCCACCGGTCTTTGCGTCAACTGGGAAAAGTCACGATGTCATGGTCATGTCCCGATGGAGGAGGCGAGTTCGGAAAACCCTAATGCCCCAGATTCTGGACCTACACGTGGGTTGAGTGGCTGTCATCCCCAGATGTTCATAAAAGCCCGCAGGACCCTGAACCTGGGGCTGGAATCTCCGCATTTTTTTTTATCTAGGATCTTCCTTAGCGAATGATCAAATCCACCGGATCCACTGTGTTCATTGCGGATTCCTACCCTTCAACATGCGTCTCTCTCCGGCATGGTACCAGGTAAGTCCTTAGGAGAATCCGAGGTATGGGCAAGCGCCAGGGATGCTAACGTCCTTGCTCTCACCAGTTCCTGGTCGGTGTATTCGCCTCTCTCGGCTCGTTCCTCTATGGATGTATGTATAGATGCTATCAATAAACTGTTTCTTCGCTGGATCAAAGCTAATGTGCATGGTTGCAGACGATCTAGGTGTGATTGCCGAGGTCATCGCCAGTGGATCTTTCATCTCCAGATTTGAAGCCGATAGTACTCAACAGTGAGTTCCACCACGGCAAGAATTAGGCCCATGCCACTAACAGTCTTCTAGAGGTCTCGTGGTTTCCATGTTCACTGCAGGTGCTTTTTGCGGTGCAGCATTCGCAGGTCCGACTGGTGATAGGCTGGGTCGACGATGGACCATCACGATCGGTTGTATAATCTTCTGCCTTGGCGGAGGTCTTCAGACAGGAGCTCGGACCATCGCATACTTGTACAGCGGAAGATTCTTTGCTGGTCTCGGGTATGTTCGCACCGCAAGCATAGAAGCGAAGAGTGGAGCGGCTGTAGAGCATCTACTGATATGTCCTCGTCTGCAGAGTCGGTTTCCTTACCATGATTATCCCCTTGTACCAAGCTGAGATCTGTCACCCCGACATTCGTGGCCGAGTCACAGCTCTTCAACAATTCATGCTCGGTGTTGGCTCCCTCTGTGCTGCTTGGATTTCGTATGGCACATACATCGGCTTCTCTGATACCAACGATGCCCAATGGCAATTGCCCCTGGGTCTGCAGATCGCACCGGCAGTCTGCCTGGGCCTTCTCATCATGTTCTTCCCTGAGGTAAGAGCCTTGTAACTCTGGTCAACTGTCGGCAATCAAGCACAGCCCACTAACCATATGTCAGTCTCCTCGTTGGCTCATTGACCACGGTAAAAATGAGCTGGGCCTGAAGACCCTAGCTCAACTCCACGCTCATGGTAACGAAGATGACCCGTGGGTGCGTGCGGAATACCAGCAGATTCAGGAAAGCATCAAGTTCGAGCATGAGAATGAAGCCAAGTCCTACGCGGAACTCTTCACGTCCCGCTCTTCCTTCCGTCGTCTGTTCCTCTGCTGTGCTATCCAGGCGTCTGTCCAGATGACAGGTGTATCTGCGATCCAGTGAGTCCATCTAGCACTGCACAATCGGGAAAGCAGAGCATAGAACTAACCAGTCCCCATTCGACAGATACTACTCCGTGACTATCTATGAGCAGATCGGCATTTCGGGCGACGAGACCCTGCGGTATCAGGCCATCAACTCGATCATCGCCTTGATCGCCCAGTTCCTTTGCATCCTGTACATCGATCGGTTCGGTCGTCGGTGGACTTTGATCGGTGGCAACCTGGGTAACTGCGTCACGTTCATCGTGGCGTGTGCGCTGCTGGCCAAATTCCCGCCGGAGGTCAACAACACGGGCGCTCACTGGGGCTTCATCATCATGACCTGGCTGTACAACTTCTCTTTCTCTTGCACTTGCGGTCCCCTGTCGTGGATCATCCCCGCCGAGGTGTTCGACACCCGGACCCGGTCGAAGGGTGTGTCGCTGGCCTGCATGGTGTCCTATGCCTTCAACACCATGATCGGCCAGGTCACCCCGATCGCCATGGAGAGCGTTCGCTACAAGTACTACTACCTCTTCATCATCTGCAACTTTACGAATGCGATCTTCTTCTGGCTGCTGCTCCCCGAGACGAAGAAGCTTCCCCTGGAGGAGATGAACTACCTCTTCTCCAATTCGCCCTGGATCGTGGTGGGCACTCGCAAGGAGGACTATGTCTCCCACGACTTGGAGCGCCGCGTTGAAGAGCAGGAGGAGAAGAGAGGTGCCTTTGCGACGCACGCCGAGACTGAAGCGTAATCTTTCTTTCCTGGCGCAGTCAGTTGGGGTGTTGTGTCTTTGCTTTCGGCAAACCTGGCACCCCAGCGCGGAAATATGAGAGGACAAGAAGTCCTAGTAAGACAGGGCGCCTTTGACCTTCCTGAGCAATAGTCAGCGTGCTGCAGTATGTAGTGACTCAATAATACCCCGTGATATGCTCACCAAGACTATGGATCAAACAGCGTATTTACTAAGGTGTCAAGTTCTTGCCGTGTGTACTCCGTAAAGTCTTTCATACCTTTGGGGGAAATCACATGATCAGCTATCAAGGTTTCATGCTTTTGTTAACTATGTTTGATTCTAAGACTCCTGGTGAGGGCAAAATGAAAATGGTTCTGCTAATAGAATTATATGATATCTGGAGATTGAGCATCTAAATTTTTGATGAACGAGCTCGCCATCCGAGCTCGACGATATTAGCTGTACTGTAATGGCTAGGACTCATAGCTATGCGCCAGGGCCCCCCCCCAAAACTCAGAATACGAATTCGACAATATCCTACAAGATCATGGATGGTGAGCTATGCTTTCGGATTTCACCTCTTCCATTGCATAAGCACTGCCTCACTAGTCAATGATGGATTTAGCCCACTTCATCTGGGCAAAAGCCTTACAATCTTCACAGCTTTGCTAACAAGACTACCAGGCGATCGTGCAAGGTATGTCTCTTTTTTCAGGGTACTATTCGTCCTTTGACTCTTGAGGCCATTAGCGTCTGACGATGCCATACAGTAGCAGAGTTTCTTGATTCCAATTAGACATCACTTGCTATGCGGGTATATGCAAGGCATGCCTAGCATCACGAAACTATTAGGGGGAAGTTTTGAGTCGTACAGGCTATCCAGATAGCCATTCATAGTCACCCACAGAATTTCGGGTTCATTCCGAGTCTGAACTGTAACCTGCCAGGCCAAGAGACAGTGACGATGAATTTGCAGCTGGCTTCTGGACTGGCGAGTTCGTGCTCGTACTCTTTTCCACGGATTGACCAGAGTTGGCAGCACTTGCTGCAGCACGAAGGGGCTTTTGCGCTTCGGTTTCGGTAATTTTGTGAGCCAATGTAGACTTTGGCAGTGATTCATCTACCCGAGGCTCCTTCGACGTAGTTGGGGGTGCCTGCTCGCCTTTAGGGCTTCCAGCCGAGTCGCCACTCAATGACTTGCGGATTTTCCCGGGGACAAGAAGGTCCTTGCTCTTCTCGCGTCGTCGTTTCCGCGCAGGCAGTTTCCAATCCTCTCCCTCCGCTGCCGGAACCACGTCGGCGGCTGTATCTTCGAGAAGAGTCTTTTCCGCCTCTTCCCGCTGACGACGAAACAACTCTAGACCTTCGGCAGTCTCCTTTTTCACAGCGGCCTCTTTCGCTCGCGTCGACTCCAGTATCGAGTCCAGGAATTCAACCTCATCTTCGTCCAGCGATCGGAATTGGTTTTTCAGCTTGATTTTTTCTTCGAAGGCTTCTTGCTTGGCCACTACACAGACGAAGTTCGATCATCCTAACATGTCAATCCAGGGAGTTCAAAACACGACGTGGACCTCGCTGAGGCGAGTGTCGTGATAATGATATAACTCACTCTTGTTCTGCTGCAGTACTTCAAACAGACTCTTTCCTCCATCCTGTTTCCCCAACTCTGCTTTGCGCCTGCGTTCCTCCTCGAGCTCCTGCTGCACACGGTGCCATTCATCATTGCGCTCGACTGGATCTTGGTCTGTCCCTGCGGACACAAATCCGGACGACATTTCGGACGGGTTGTAAGGCTATTAAAGTATCGACCCTCGCAGCAAGGGTATTTCGACTTTCTCCGCGGGGATGGAAGATGTTTTCGACGTTCAAGGGAAGCAGTGTGACTTGACCATAGGCTAGATTCCTGGTACTGGCCGTAGTAAGTGAGCGCCTTGTTGAAATGTGACTTTCAGACAATGTCAAGTCAATCGACAAATCACTTTGCTTGCGTCGACGAGTCACCATTGGATTGTGATCGTCTCCGGCTTCAACCGCGTCCTGGAGAGGGAGCCACAGTGGACTGGCAGAATCAAGCGGTGAGGCTCGAAAATCTGACGTTGATTGGACCTTTCAAACGCGGAGCCCCACTAAAGCGGAGCAAGCAAGTTTAGGCAAAATCCCGCAGGTGCATTGCTGCAGCATCGATGCCGAACCGATTCTCGGTGGTTGGACCGGAAATAATTATTAATAGTTCTTTTTACACGAGACCAAGGTCTGCATCTGCTTTCTACTGTGTGGATGGTGCCGAGTCAAGTCCACATACGCTCGGCTAGTTCTTTTGAAAGCTCCAAGTTTGGGATTCTAGAGCTCGGTTAAATGGCTACGTCCCCAACGTCGGTTTACTGTGTACCACAGAACTCGAAAGCTATACTCCGCATAGTAGTACAAATCAACCAAGTAAACTTGTTTCGGTTGAAGTATGTGACACGGTAAACTGACTGCCTGACTAGTACGTAGTATGAATGCTTGGGACCCTCATGCTGAGCGGCTAATTGCATGCGACAACAAATGGAGACCAAGATAACCATTTGGTTTAGTTATCGGTTTCAGATTGCAATTAGAAATGACCGGCAGAGACCCCCACCATTATTGAACGGACCCCGCGACTCCGATTGACTATCGTCATCGTCCCGCGCATAGCGTGCTGGATGGACCTGCCTCTTCATCATTATCGTCTATCGGCCAGCACTCAGCCCCTCCCCTCCTCTCCAAGCCTATAAAGTCAGCCTACTCCATCTGCGGGGACGGCCTCTTTTTATTCTTATTTCTCTTTCTTCCTTCCTTCAATTGTTCTCTCCCCTCTAAACATTTGAATCTACCTTCCAAAAAAGTAACAATGTCGAACATCGAGCACACCAAGTAAGCCAGCTGCCCCCTCCCCCCTGGAAGCCCCATTGACGTTGACTTACACTTTGGCCTCATAGGAAAACTTACACTCTTAACACGGGTGATAAGATCCCCGCTGTTGGTTTGGGCACATGGCAGAGCGGTCCTAACCAGGTTAGAGAGGCCGTCAAGAATGCTCTTCTGAAGGGTTACCGCCATATCGACACGTAAGTGGAGTGTTATGACTGATCTAGGAACCCTGTTTGAACCTCCTGCTAATGATTTTCGGTGATAGTGCCCTCGCCTACGGCAACGAGGCCGAGGTCGGTCAGGGTATCAAGGACTCTGGTGTCCCTCGCGAGGAGATCTGGATCACAACCAAGCTCAACAACACCTGGCACCACCGCGTCGCCGAGGGCATTGACTCTTCTCTCCAGAGCCTTGGCGTGGACTACGTCGACCTTTACCTTGTTCACTGGCCTTGCGCGACTGATCCCAACGACACCTCGAAGCATCTTCCCGACTGGGACTTCATCAAGACCTGGTACGAAGCAATCACCCTTGTAGAGCCGGCGATTAGAGAGGATGTACTGACTGGCGTGGCATCTATAGGCAAGAGATGCAGAAGCTGCCTGCCACGGGCAAGGTCCGCAATATCGGTGTTTCCAACTTCGGCATCAAGAACCTGGAGAAGCTTCTGAACGACCCCAGCACCAAGATCGTCCCCGCTGTTAACCAGATTGAGCTGCACCCCAACAACCCCTCCCCCAAGTTGGTTGCCTACAACACCTCGAAGGGCATCCACTCCACCGGTTACTCTTGCCTCGGCTCTACCAACTCTCCTCTCTACAAGGATCAGACCCTGCTGGACCTTGCCGAGAAGAAGGGCAAAACCCCTCAGCAGGTCCTGCTGGTGTGGGGCTTGAACAAGGGCTGGAGTGTCATTCCCAAGTCTGTCAGCAAGGAGCGCATCGACGCCAATTTCGAGCTCGACGGCTGGGACCTGACTGAGGAGGAGGTCACCCAGCTTGACAACTTGAAGGATCGCTTCAAGGTCTGCGGAGACAGCTGGCTCCCTATCAAGGTGTTCTTTGGGGATGATGAATGACTGACCGATATGACACGAGGCGAAAGGAGTTCTAAGATCTAAATTCGATGTACATAAATTCGGTTAATGCTTGGAGCCATAGAAGCATGATAGCTTGCCGGTAATAGAAAGAATTGGTCTTTGTTAATCGTTTCTGCTGAAGTTAGCTTATTTATCCCTCATAGTGTTTTCTGAGCGCGCAGCATTGTTCGATGTTAAAGGCAGTGTTTACATTGCGAGGTTGATGTGTAAAGACATTTGCGGGGTAAAGGCGGGGCTGAAGCCATTCGGGCGCGCTTTCCTACAATGTGATGGGGATTAGAATTCATTGTCCCTCCGGACTGTTTGAGAATAAGTCGAATTACTCAAGTCCGAACAATGAGCATCGCACGATTGAATCAAGCAGTGGTACTGAGTAGGATGATGTTGGGTTGCCACACCTGCATCATCGAACCACTTCCCTTCGGGGCACGTGGTTCCGGATCACATGCAGCACCGCCACTCGGCATCATGGATCCGTCGTCCCCTCGCCGTCACATCACCCATCCCCCGGGCCCGTCATCCTCTTATCTCCTTTCTTCCTTCATTCATCAGGAGATGGTTAGTCCATCGTCTACTCGTTCATAAGTTTATTCATTGTTGCAGTCAGGATGCCGCCTTCTAACGGGCACCTGCTGCTCCCCAAGGTCTGGAGAGCAGCCAGGTGAGTCATTTGCCACATAGTTCTTGATACCAGCATAACTTGCTAATGCTCCCCCGATTAGGTCCGCCTACGAGAAGGCTTGTAAGACCTTAAGGTCAAAATTTCCCGAGCAAATCCCACAGGGCTCGCTTCGTCTTCAGCCAGAATACATTAGGGTTGCTCACAGACAACCTATCAATCGAGCGGCTGCTATCCGTCAAGCCCGTAGTCGCCAATTCTCGACGCGCGCGGCGGGATCCTTCGTCTCTTATCTCCGCAGTGGTCTTCAAGCAGACCGTACTGCGACAACGAAGGTATCTTCTGTTGCCTCCAATCTTAGCCGGTTGACAACTCGTGCTCCTTTCGCGTCTGCTCTCCGCCCGAACTTGACTGGTGGTACGTTGGGCCGCACGGCCGGAGGTTATACAATTGGCGCCGGCCGCATTGGCGGTGCACGATACTTCTCACATGGCCCGGCTGCACCGGCCCAGGTCATCAACAATGTTTCGATGGGTGTGCGTGCGTTCTTCCTCTCGGGACAGAAGGCTCGATTTGATGGGGTCGATCCAATCACCGGGAACAAGCGCTACAAGGCCGTCAGCAAGCTTCAGGATGAAGCTGAGCGCAAAATGACCGGCATTCCTCGCACGGCTCCCGGGTCTTTTATCGACTTCCAGATCTCCCCTACCATCACTGCCTTTGGCCTGCAGAAGAACCTGGCTGCTACCAGCACTTGTGATGATCAGACGCTGAACTCGGAAGGCCTCCTGGACCTGCTGTCTGCCGACTTTGCCCGGACCCTTAAGGATCTGGCTGTCGTTCTTAACGATCTTAAGCGTTTGAAAACCCTGGGCGACATGCCCGTCATACTCCACGACCAGTCTACGATTCGAGTACGGTTTCCGGGTTGCGATGCCGAGACTGTTGAGAGGCTTTGTGATGAAGCAGGTATTCAACGAGGCAAAATCATGCAAGATGAGGATTTCAACACGCGTACGGGTGCCGATCTTGCTCTTCTGTTCCCATTTGCTCCCAGTGTCCCAGTCTCTCCGCAGATTGATGATTACTTCTACAAACCTCAGTCTGTGAAGTCTCAGGCTCCTGAAGAAGTCGACTGGCATGCCATGATGTCTCCCGAGCAGATCAGCGACGCGTCGTCTAGTATGCACAGACAGTCTTCCAACCAGATTAGCTTTGAGGATGTAACCATGTTTGCCAAAAATCCCTGGGCGTCGCCGTTGTCGGGGTATTCCAGCATTAACGTCAGCGAGCTCGGAGACCACGCCTACTTCCCCGAGGCCCTGAGCAGTGGAGTTCCTGCTACCGCCTCCGAATACGAGGGCTCGGACGGAATCCGCAAGTTCATTGCTGAATGTGACACGGCTGCGCGATACTGAAGCAGCGGCTAAATTGTACAGCTTTACAAAGTCATTTCTCGTTTCCTCGCGTCTTGTTTCCCTTGCAGTCTCTGAAACAAGTTCTCAGGTGAATCACGAGTATGCTCGGGCAATTCGGATTTACCAGCCATCTACCTGATGCGCTCATATCTAACATATATACCACTATTGTTATTTCGGATTTAATTAACTCTTAAATGTATACAAATATCGTCTACTTCAATGCACTTCACTTGCCAGGTATTGTCGGCAATGCTTCGTATGACTCGTAAAGCAAGGGTATTTGTGTCGCAAGGCTCAATCAATAGTCTGAGCCAGCGGCGATGACCCTTCTGAAGGGACTTCGTCCGTTGGTACAGGCATATCCGTGCTGCTTTTGTCAATGCCCAAGCCTCTGCTTTGATTTGTAGCCAAAACACCCAGTGCATCGGGATATTGCCATGCAGATCGGCATTTGTCAATAGCCATGTCAACCCGCAATTCTCCGACAAGCCGTTTCTGGAGGGTAAACAAGGAAGCATGACCTATCTCATGTCCCGAAGGCTGGAACTTGGTTTCAGGGTGAGTGTCCCACAGCTCTGGCCTTTTTTTGGTGCTAACTTTCATGTGGGCGTACTTTGAGTAGTTTCTAATGAGTGGCCCTGACTTGGCTAATATTTATGAGGCACTGCGCTGTCTTGACCTTTATCTTAATCGAGTCATTCAAGATGTATATAATATCGCCTGGGAGATCGGAATCTCATTTTGTAAACTGGTCACTGATATGATGGCAATCACCGAAGCAATTATATAATCAACATTCTACCTATATGCTCGGTTCTTCAGCACAGCATGAATGTAGTCTGATACATGTAATGGCATACGAGCCACCTGGTAAAAAATGGATGTTGTAGAACGATGGACAGGAGCAGCAAGGCGGTCAGATAGCACCCGTCAAAAAGCCCACCGCCAACCCCGCGCTAAGCTGGAAGGAGGGCGATCCGATCCACTGATAACAGTCCATCCACATGGAGATTCACACACTGCAACTATCCTGACCTGGAAGCTCATTCATTCACTTTACTACTTCCCGCGATTCGCGGTCTCTCCTCAAACACTCCTGAAAACTACATGACTCGATAGGAAAAGACACAATCGGTACTGTTCTGGGGACTCTCCTGTGCTGGAGGTGTTCGACCGGGTCTCAAGCAACTGCTACGGGTCTAAGCAAAGAAATCATAATATCTTCCGATCGCACCCCTCTCGATTTGCCGTCACCCAGACACGATGGAGGACTTCAACAGTGAAACTGACAGCGACTACACCAGCTACTGGAGAGATTGGGTAAGTTGGCTCCTCCACCACGCCTGCCCCCTCCTTTTCCTTGACGTGAGCGTGGACGGCGGTTCGAGTGCTAGTGAAAGAGTGCGACTTGATAGTTACACCTGGGAACGTCATTGTGACCCGGAATTGCGAACGAAGCTGCGACGGCAACTCCTTGAAAGTTGCTGAGGGACTGCTTTTCCCAGTCAATTCCGTCTTCGCTGTCCCCGGCCAGGCCTTAAGATACATCGGATGTCAACCCGAGATCTTGTCCTGTTGCCTCTGCTCCTGCATCGAACCCTGTCCATTCGTTTCTCAGAGCCTGAACCAGTTCTGCGCCAACATCATCTTAATTATTGAAAGTCCGTGACTGACTGCTTCTGGAAAGTTTATCTCCTCTCGTGGCAATGAATACTTTTGCGAAATCGACGAGGATTACCTCACGGATCGCTTTAATTTGACCGGCCTGAACACCGAAGTCGCATACTACCAGTACGCCTTGGACCTGGTGACGGATGTCTTCGATCTCGATGCAGACGACGACCTCCGCGAGCAGATCGAGAAGTCAGCACGCCACCTTTACGGCTTGGTCCATGCGAGATACATTGTCACCACTCGCGGGCTTGCCAAGATGGTAAGACTCTGAAGTTGCGAAGCCACCGCCGTCTCTAATCACTGGAAATTAGGTCGATAAACTCAAGCGCGGCGACTTCGGCAAATGTCCCCGAGTCATGTGCGAGGGCCACCCCCTCTTGCCGATGGGCCAGCACGACACTCCCAATATGAGCACGGTCCGTCTTTACTGCTCCAAGTGCGAGGACATCTATCACCCGAAGTCGTCTCGCCATGCCTCCATCGACGGAGCCTACTTCGGCACCTCTTTCCACAGCATGCTTTTTCAGGTGTATCCTGCGCTGATGCCGGAGAAGAGCATTCGTCGCTATGAGCCCCGCGTGTTCGGATTCAAGGTGCACGCCAGCGCTGCCTTGGCTCGCTGGCAGGATCAGTATCGTGAAGACATGAAGACGACTCTTCGCGATGTTGGAGTAGAGGTCAAATACATAGAAGACGACAGCGAAGATGATCTGGAAGACGACGATGATGAGGCGATCTCGGACACTAAAGAAGAGGAGAAGGTTATCGGTGACGCTGCTTCGGGCCGTATGGATCTCGGCAATTAAAACATAGCAGTCCCTCTTCTTCCCTGCCCCCTCCTCCCCCTCTCTTCATCCCGTCCGTTTTGCACAGTTTCCCGCCCTTGAGAATGGAGTTATTTTCTTCCATTATCATATATTTCAACTGCATTACATCCTGCTTCGCCACCACCCACATGCATCTCAAGGGTTGGTCCCTTTTTTCTCCCCCATCCCCTCCCCCTCTTATATCGTCCCTTGCTTTAATGTCTTTTTTGAAAATCGCAGGAGTGTGACGGAGAGGTTGGTTTTCTTCTCCAATTATATCTCATCTGCTTTGCATTTATGATTATGAAATCACACTGGTGGCGTTGGAAGTCTTCCGGAGATGGCGGGTCTGTTTCTTATCTTCTTCTGATGTGAACTAGTTTCTCTTTCCCGGCCGACAGGCTTTCAGGATATACATTTCGATCTGGCTTGGTTCTCATCTGGCATTTTCTGATCCCTCTGCTTCTTGGCGAAGACTATATGACGGACTGCATCGTTCTCCAACGGGGTTCATTCATGCATGCTGTGTAAATGTATGGTCCGTAGCGAACGTCAATTAACCAAAAGGCGGGCCGTAAATGCATTTCCACGTGAGTCTATAAGTCGTGTATGAAGCTCCGTATATACAGTACAAAAAACTATTCCCAATCTCTCTCTCACTCCTGCAATTCGAGCAGCTTGTCCAGCGTGAAGGTAATGGCCCGCGCCAGCTCGATACCTTTTTCCCAGCAATCGTCATGCGCCCCCTTGATGGGGAGCAGTTCGACCTTCCTCCTCCTGCTGCTACCTTGAGACGAAGAGGACGCCGCCTCAACCCAAGGCCCCAAAGCATCCCTCATTACCTCGTGCTGACGCGTATTGACCAGCTCATCCTCCGGCGAGTGCGCCAGCACCGCCAACCGGCCCGCCGTCCACCCGCCCACCACACCATTCTGCCCATCCCTGACCGCCGCCGGCGACACGGCATCCCACAGCGCTTCCTCGCCGCCAAACGCCCCCTCGATGATCTGCTGGTACGCCGCGATCCGCACATGGTCATCCCGCAAGCCCCGCAGATCATAGATGCCCGCCGTCCCCAAAATCGCCTGGGGGCCCATCGCCACCGACCCGCCGCCGACTCCGATGCCACCGCCCCCTCCAACTGCACCGTTGTTGCCGCTATCATCATGATCACCATCCCCATCAACCAGCCCACTCCCAGAAGTGGACCGGTGACCGCGGAACGCGCCCATAACCGACTGGAATGCCAACGTGGCGCCGCAGCTGTGCCCGACGAGGATGTAGCGATCCCCGAACCCGTACTTGCGCTGCAGGAAGGCCAGCGCGGCCTGCACGTCGGCGATGTGGTCCGGGTGGCGCGCGGCGCGGTACTCGGTTGGCGGGGTGGTGGTGCGGTCCTGCTGGTGGTCTGGGTGCGGGCTCAGGCGGTAGTTGATGGAGGCGAAGCCGGCGAGGTGGGCGTGCGTGGTCGAGGTGTACGGCTCCGACGCCGCCAGGATGGAGACCGCTGGCGTCAGGTAGTTCAGGGCCGTTTGGGTGGGGTCACGCCAAGCGCCGCCGTGGATGCAGCTGTTCCGTTCATGTTAATGTCAGTGTGTATGTTTGTTTTGTGTCTGTAGTGGATAGAGTGACGGAAAGGTGTGTATATGGAGGTGGGTGGGGGGTATGAAGGGGGAGAGGTGAAAGGGGGGACATACATCACCCAGTAGCCTTTGTCGGGGAGAGCCGATAAGGTGGTCACTGTTACGGTTTGGAGGACATGGTTAGTCCCATAGGAAAAGGTTTCAGGGATCATTTGATCAATGGCCGGGGTTGTAGGGGGGATAGACATTGAAAGGAAGGGATTTAGGATGAGATGATTGGGAGGGACCTGTAGTCTGAGTAAGGAAAAGACAATTGAGGGGTTATCAGTTCAAAAGAATCATAATGATGGAAGTGCTGCTGTTGAGTTTCTGGTTAGCGTGGCGTCCGGTTTGCCAGTGGAGCAATGGCCGCGCTTATCGTGGACCCAACACCAAGAGGTCTTTCACATTCTGTTGTTGATGTCTTATACTCTTGAATCAATGGATACCAGGCCCGCCATTAAGACCTTGACAATGCGAGATTAAGGGAAGAGACAGAGACTCATGTTTACCGAGGGGTTGTAAAGATATTGCCCGTTTGGGCAGCGGCGCTGACTGCTCATATGGGGCTTGGCACGCTAAGCCCGATCGGGGGTTAGGCGGTGGGAGCAAATGCTGAATTCCATCCACACAAACCATCGCCGCCGTTCAACCCATCGTCGCCGTCTATACACGTATACTCTGGGCTGCTGCATTCAAAATGGCGGAGTAAGTGCTCTTTGAACTTTCCGAGTCTGAACCTCAGAATCATTCAAGCTAATGTTATACCTCACAGGAAAGAAGTTCCTCTCACGGCCGTCAAGGTCGAGGCCTTGGTATGCAACACCACCCTGAAAATCTTCCTCACCACCCTCCCCCGCTTTGAACAGCCCGGTTGGTCATGATACTGACGGTTTTCGCCATTAGGTGGTGATGAAAATCATCAAGCACGGCTCGCAATCTTTCCCCACGACTGCGACCGGTTCGATCGTTGGTATGGATGTCAACGGCACCCTAGAGATCACCAACTCGTTCCCTTTCCCCGTCGTCGAGATGCCCGCCGAGTCGCACTTCGACAACACCGCCCCCAACCCGGCTGCCGCTGCCCCCCGTGCGAAGGCCAACGCCGTCTACCAGGCCGATATGGTCCGTATGCTTCGTGAGGTCAACGTGGACGCCCAGAACGTCGGATGGTACACCAGCGCCAACATGGGCAACTTCGTCAACATGAACGTGATCGAGAACCAGTTCTTTTACCAGAAGGAGATGAACGAGCGTACAGTCGCCTTGGTGCACGATGTCAGCCGTAGCGCCCAGGGAAGCCTGAGCCTGCGTGCCTTCCGCCTGTCTCCCAAGTTCATGACTGCTTTCAAGGAGAACAAGTTCACCTCCGAGGAGTAAGTTCTAGCTCTGACTTTTGGGTGCCTGCGTCGCTAACATTCACCAGGCTCCAAAAGTCCAACCTCAGATACCAGGACATCTTCGTCGAACTCCCCGTCGAGATCCACAACTCCCACCTGATCACCTCTTTCGTCCACCAGCTTCAGTCCCCCATCCAGTCCGCCCCCACGGATCTCCCCGCCTCTTTGTCTGCTCTGGAGTCTGGACTGGTCGCCAAGTCCTCCGTGCTGGCCCCCAACTTCGACAACCTCTCCCTCAGCATCGATCCTTTCTTGGAGAAGAACTGCGACCTTCTGCTCGACAGCATCGAGGTCCACCACACCGAGACCAACAACTTCCAGTACTACCAGCGCTCGCTTGCCCGTGAGCAGGCCAAGATCACCGCCTGGCAAAACAAGCGCAAGACCGAGAACGCCAACCGCGCGACTCTCAAGCAGCCCCTCCTCCCCGAGGACGAGTGGCAGCGGCTGTTCAAGCTCCCTCAGGAGCCCAGCCGTCTGGACAGCATGCTGAACAGCCGCCAGGTCGAGCAGTACGCCCGCCAGGTGGACAGCTTCGTCGCCTCCACGACGGGCAAGATGTTCGCTGTCAAGGGCAACCTTCTGCCGGGAGAGACCGCCAAATAGAGTGGAGGACTTCTAGAGGAAGCGCGAAGAAGACGAAGAAGAAGGGCCAAACTGATATGATTTGTCTCACACTGTGGGGATTCTGGAAATCGCATGCATGACCTTACGGCGTAGGGAGGGAAAATTCTGTATCTGACTGTTAATATGTCTCCTGGTTGTTTCTTAATTCCAGTGACGAATAGAGTTACGGGATATGACTTTTGGGGGAGAGTTCGCTTTCAATCTATATAGGTTTTTTTGTTTGTTGTTTAAGGGCGCCTCCCCGTCCCTTCCTGCGATTTCGCCTTTGGTGAGAGCGTCTCTGCATGCGTGGTTCCCCAGGTTGGCTGCTTTGGGAATGGCGCTGCCCTAATGACCATGTTAGGGTACGGTGCGTCCACGTGATGGGTCATTGATGACCTCATCGTTAGATACCTTTGCTGCCGATAACGATTAGATAAGGATCGATAAATGACGATTGCTTGATTCCAGTGATTCTCTTTAATGCTATAGATGTTTTCTAGGTACAAGATATGTTAGAGTCACGCATAGACAATGCCTAACACCAACTCCGATATCTGGCTCGTATGTCTTCATGTCCATGTCTCCATCCCAAACCACCTCACCCTAACCCAACCTCCACACCACCATCATCATCCCATTAATTTCCTATACATAGCCTACAACTACTAACCATGAAGAAACCCAGTCCGGCGCCTTCGCCGTCGTCATCACCGATTTCATGGTCTACCCTTTCGACACCCTGAAGACGCGCCTGCAATCCCCGAACTATGCCACCGTCTACAAGGACGCGACGACCGGCCAGATCAAGCGCGGCGTGCTGTTCAAGGGCCTGTACCAGGGCGTGGGCAGCGTGGTCCTCGCCACGATTCCAGCCTGTGGGCCTGCCCTCTCCTTGCTGTGCCTGTCCTTATCCCTCCCTATACCCCCCTTACTATGACCCTCCGTCCCCGCGCACCACAGACTAAGAGAAATAAACCAAAAAAGCAGGAGCATTCTTCACCACCTACGAAGCAAGCAAACAAGCCCTCACGCGCCTCTTCTCCCCCAACCAGCCACAAAAACCCCTCCTCCCCACTCCCCTCCTCCACTCCATGGCCTCCTGCACCGCCGAAGCAGTCTCCTGCTTCATCCTCACGCCCGCTGAGGTGCTCAAGCAGAACGCCCAGATTGTCAACAGCAGTGCCCCAACCACCACCACAAACCCGAACCCCAACCCCACCCACCCAAAAAACATCACCCTGACCATCCTCCGCCGATTCCGGCACCGGCCCTGGAAGCTCTGGAGCGGGTACACGGCGCTCCTCGGCCGCAACCTGCCGTTCACGGGGATCCAGTTCCCGATCTTCGAGTTTGTTAAGGCCAAAGTGGTGGGGTATCGGGATACCATTCCAAAGAAAGATGCGAAAGGGGAGATCGTTGAACGGGTTTATGTGACGGGCATCGCGGGGAGTGTGGCGGGGACGATTTCCTCGGTGGTGACGACGCCTATCGATGTGGTCAAGACGCGGATGATGTTGGCGGCGACGGATACGGTGGAGGGGGACTCCGTCAAAAGAAAGAGGAGCGGGGCGTTGGCGGTGGGGAAGGAGGTTTATGGAAAGGAAGGGGTGAAAGGGTTGTTTCGGGGCGGGGCGTTGCGCGCGTTCTGGACGGCGATCTCGTTTGGGATTTATTTGAGTATGTATGAGGGGGGCAAGGTGTATTTGGGGAATAGGCGGGTAGAGAGGGAGGAGAAGGTAAGAAGGGATGAGGAAGGGGCGCCGTTGTAACCTTTCTAGGGCTAGATGCTGTATGTAGCTACTTTGTTTGGGAACTTGGGGATGCAGTAGTACAGGAAGAGATAGAGTCTAATGTAATGACTACTCCAGCTACTACCATTTGCAATCATATGTGGGAAAGGTGTCGTTGGGCATGTCATTGATGGGCAAGCAAAAAGTAGTATCAGTCATTCTCATGGTAGTCATACATCATCATATAAATCGTTTTTCCACTTCGGATACAAAGTCACACCCAAGGACACACAATCATTCATCAAACATCCGGGATATCTTCCAGGTTCAGCCTCATTGCACTGTCGTTTCATCATTGAACTCATAAAAGGGCCCCACCGACTGTGATCGTGAGACAAGCCTGGTGGAACTCCATGCGTCACCGTGATCATCATCCCAGATTGGTCAACTTGCGGAACCAATTGGGCATTCTCCCATTACTGACCGGGGGCGCCGCGTAGCGGTCTTCATAGCGACCTTCATACGGCGACCGCATCCCCCGCGCACGCTCGTAGTCTCCACTCCCGGAACTCCGCTCGGAGCGTCGCACCTCGCGCTTCCTGGCGCGGAGCTCGTCGATCTCCTGATCCGTCAGCCCGGGGTATCTGGCTCGCCGACGAGCCCGGCGGCGCAGTTCACGGCGCGCCTCTTCGTCCGACGAGATCGAGCCGCCGTTTGCAGCTCCTTCGGGACCCCCGGGCATATCTAGCACCGTGGTCATCACCGGCGGGGGCTCCGGCGGATCGTCCGCCTGCGAGTCGATCCAGGACGAAGTCTTATCCTTGCGACCTCCGGACATCATGGGTCGGAATCTCTCTGCATCGAGAGGAGGCGCCCTGGACTTCCGACGTCTGGACCGTTCGCCGTCGGCAGATCGCTTCGGGTGATGATAATGGTGAGGTGGGGGAGGGGCAGCTCGATCGGCTTCCATCGTGCCACCGAAATAGAAGTCTCGAGCAGCTCGATCGTCGACGTGCATGGAACGGCGCTTGGACCTGCCAGACTCCTGGATGGGGTCATACATTTCTGCCTCTCGCTGCCTCCTGCGCTCGCGGCGCGGCGCAGCCCTAGCTTCAGCGGCCTCACGGGCCTCTTCCTCTTCTCTGGCACGCCGCTCCCGCTCCTCACGGGCAGCTCGGCGAGCCCTTCGTTCCTCCCGTCGTCGTTCGGCCTCCCTTTCCTCCTCCTCACGCAGCTGACGCTCCTGCATCTCGCGTTCCCGTGCCATTTCTCTTTCTCTGCGCCGAGCGCGCCTCTCTTCGGCCTCCCGCCAGTCACTCTCACGAAGCTGATCGGACGCAGCTTGTCGCGCAGCCCGTCGGGCTCTACGTGCCGCCCTCCTTGCTTCCGCCTCTTCTGCGTCCGTTTCGGGGAACGCTTCTGCCGGCGGAGCATCTGTAAGGAAGCCCTCACCGTCCACATCCGGCATATCATGTCGTCTTCGTCTGCTCTCGTGTCTCACGCGACGAGACTCGCCGCGTTCTGGTTCGGTCATATACCTAGAATCTTCATCCCCGTAAGAGCGAGACTTGTGACGCTCTGGCATCTCAGGGCGGGCCGATCTCCGTAAAGATCCGATCAGCCCCTTGAGACCGCCCGGACCGGGCTCTGGCTTTCTCGGAGCCGTATTTGACCGCCTGAGCCGTCGTTCCCGTGGAGGCTCCACAAATGCAATATCATCAGGCCCAGATAATACTACTGGCCCCTCTTGCTGTAGCTCGTCAAGCATGGCCCTGTCATCCAACTCGTCATGTCGGGACCTCGACTGTGTAGGACAGAATCAGTTACTCAAGTCCACATCTCACTATTTTCACGCGTCTTACCTTGTGGCGGGACCGCCTGTCGGAATGCCGCGATCCTCTTGAACCACCCTCTCTGGCAGCAGAAGCATCGAGATCATCTCTGTCCACCATGACGATATCATCCTCGTCGATAGCATACGGATCAGGCGCAGCTGCAGGGTTATGATTAGTAAAGTAGCAGCGATAAGCCATTGAAAGACATAAATACCTGATCGCCTGCGAGATGCATGAGGCCTCTCTCGTTTTGATGAACCGTTTGCACCCATCATTCTGGCAGCTTTATCCGGCATGTCTCGGTGGTTGTCTGGTGGTGGCGTGGGTAATTTAGTATCGTTCACATCATCGTTCATCTCTACGGAGGGGCGTCTTGATATCGGCCTTGAAGCTTGGGCTCCAGACTTCTTCGTGGACTTCTTCCGAGACGGAGGGGGCATCCCCAGGATAAAGTGGGAGAATGTCATACCTCGGCTATGTCGGGCTTCTCTGCGTCGATCCCGGTCAGAAGTAGATGACTTTTCGACCTCATTCTCACCTTCCCGGGATTGAGGGTGTCTAGTCGACCTCGTTCGCACCATCAGTGGCGGTGAATGCTCTCCCCGATGTCTAGACTCTTTCTGGGGCGTTTTCTTAGATGGGGCGCCAGCCCAGAATCCCCACGAAGCAGCACCAGGGGTGCGCTCCACACGGGTGCGCTCCTTCCTGGGCATCTTGTCAGGTTGGCTTTCGATAGGCTCCGGAGGGGGCGTTGGAGGTCCACCGTGACCTACATCAACCGGTGGAGGATCCGCTAGAAATGCAGCCTGTTCTAGACTGGATACCTTCTTACTCTTCTTCTTTGGCTTCTCAACTTCTGGAGCAGGCGCCTCATCGAGTTCCGGTATAATTTCGCCTTCTTGTTGGATCTCAGCCTCTGGTTCGGGCTCTTCTAGAACAGGGGCAGGGACGTCTTCCACGACTGGAGCAAGGACAGGCTCGGGCTCCGGCTTAATGGCCTTCTTCTTTTTCTTCTTCTCAATTTTTGAGACGGGCACCGGAACAGGCTCGGGCTCGGGCTCGGGCTCCGGTACTGGGGCTGGGGCGGGTTCAGGTTCAGGTTCAGGCTCTGCGACTGGCTCCGGAATGGGTTCAGGAACAGGAACTGGCTCAGGCTCTAGTTCGATCACCTTTGCCTTTTTCTTCTCTTTCTTCTTGGCCTTCTTTGACAATACCACTGGTTCTGGTACTGGTTCCGGTTCCAGCTGTACAGGTTCAGGAATGGGCTCTGGGGCGGGCTCAGGCTCAGGCTCAGGCTCAAGCTCCTGAGCGGGAGGTTCCGGAACAGGAGGTGGGGGAATATCGTCGTACTCGTCGTCAAACGCGTCAGGAAAACTTCCAGGGACCAAGTCACGCGAAGACTTTCTCGGTCGATATGGTTCAGGCTCAATATCAACAATGGGCACTTCCTGGGGAAGCTCAACAACTTCCTCTGGTGAAGGCAGCACGATTTCCTTCGCCTTAGACTTCCCCGCTTTCTCCTTCAATTTATCCTTCCTTACTTGCTCAAGAGACTTGATGCGCTCAGCGACGGACAGCTTGGCTGATGACTTGGTCTTTGAGGTGACAACAGGAGTCTTTGTTGGCGGGGCGGCTTGTTCCTCGACAACTGGTGGCATTGGCGCTTCGGGCGCTTCGGGCGCTTCTGGCATCTGGGGTGCATCGCCAATGTCGATTAGTAAGTCGTCGTCAGCAGGCTTGCTCTCCGGTTCAGGCTCCAGCTCCGGCTCCTGCATAATCTCTATGGGTTTGGCTTTCTCGGCTGACTTCTTTTTCATCGCCTTGGGCTTACCCATCGTTGCTGCTCCGAGAGTGGCCCAGAACCCCATTGAAGCCTTTGGTGTCTCCTCAACCCCAAACCCCTTGCTAGTACTCTTTGGAGGCTTGGCATCATACTCGTCCCAGAGAGGCTCCTCGGGCACGTGCTCTGTAGGCACATATCCTTCTGGCTCATGCGTGAATCCCAGAGAAGGTGGAGTCGGTGCGGGGGGAGGTGGTTCCACTGCAATCTTGCTGCCTTTCTTTTTTTTCTTGTCTTTCCCAGTACTCCAGATACCCCAGCTCGCTTCCTCATAGACAGGTTCGGCTTGTATAGGTGCAGGAGCAGGTTCAGCGATGATCTCTGGTACTGGTTCGGGTAGCGGCTCGGGCTCGGGTTCCACAACAGGTTCAGGTTCAGGTTCTGGCTCGGGCTCATGAACAGGCTCAGGGGCAGGCTCAGGAACCGTTTCTGGCTCTGGGACAGGTTCCTCATGCTTAGCAGCTGGAGGTGGTGGCCATTCAAAATCCTTGCCAGGAATTGGAAGCCCTTTCTTGACTAACAACTTCTCTCTCTTTTTCCGTTCCTTGGAGTTCAGATTTTCCCAGTTGTCGTATAGAGGGTTGTCTGGGATGACTGGGGGTTCTGGTTCAGGCTCAGGCTCGGGTTCAGGCTCAACAACTGGCTCGGGCTCGGGCTCGGGCTCGGGGACTGGTTCTGGTTCTGGCTCGGGAACTGGCTCGGCCTCAGGTTCAGGCTCTGGCTCTACACGCTCAGGTACGGGCTCAGGTACGGGCTCAGGTTCGGGTTCTTGCACTGGCTCGGGCTCTGGTTCCAGCCCGGGCTCAGGCTCAGCGGGCCGAGGAGGAGGCCATTCGAAATCTTTGCCAGGAATTGGAAGTCCTTTCCTGACTAACTGCTTCTCTCTTTTCTTCCGATCCTTGGAATTCAAATTTTCCCAATTATTGTAGAGAGGATTATCCGGTATGGCTGGAGGCGCGGGCTCAGTTTCGGGTTCGGGTTCTAGTACTGGCTCAGGTTCAGGCTCAGGTTCAGGTTCAGGCTCAGGCACTGGTTCTTGCTCAAGCTCAGGTTCAGGTGCCAGCGCTGGCGCTGGTTCAGGCTCAGGCTCAGGCTCTGGTTCGGGTTCGGGTTCGGCAGCCTTGCCCTTCTTCTTTTTCTTGTCCTTCTTGGACAAGCCCCAGGCACCCCAGTCATCCTCTTCTTCTTTCTTTTCCTCGACAGGCTTAGGTTCGGGCTCAGCCGGCGGCTCTGGCGCTGGTTCCTCGACAACTACCTCCTCCACGAGGGGCTCTTCGAAAAGGGCATTTTTCTTGGCCTTCTTATCCTTCTTCTTGGAGGTAGATGTCCAAGCATTCCAGTCGTCTTCAGGGGGAGAAGTGTCAGCCGCTGCCGGTGGCTCAGGTGCAGGAGGCTCCGCAGGTAGCGTTTCTTCAAGCAGGGCGTCTTTCTTTTTCTTCTTCTTGTCCTTCTTCGAAAGTTGTGCTCCCCAGCCCCAGTCGTCGTCGGCTATCTCTGGAAGTTTCTCTGGCTGCGCCTGCGGCTCTGGTTCTGGCGTGGGCTCAGGTTCCTGAACCGGTTCCGGTTCAGGTTCCGTGGGAAGGTCTTCCTCCACATCTTTCTTCTTTTTCTTCTTGTCCTTCTTGCTCACGGTAAAACCACCCCATATGTCATCCTCGGGCTTGGTCTCTTTTTCGCCGCCGCTGGCATTGTCGGTGCTAACAGGTTCGTCGATGGCTCCAAATCCGAATCCCACGCTTGTAGTCTTCGCAGCAAATGACCAAGGGTTGTTGTCAACTTTGCCTTTATCGGGTGTCGCGCCGTTGGCGCCATTTAAAGTGTCCAGACCCCATTTGTTGCCTGTGCCCCAACCCTTGTCCCAACCACCGAAGCTGAAATCAACGTCTCCGGTTGGGGGAGGCAGACCTAAGTCTAGCTGTGGCACATTATCACCCAGACTCACCTCCTGAAATCCATTCGTTGGGGGCGGGGGAGGCACATCGGGGACAGCCTCGGCGCCCTAGAATTTCGGTTAGACTGGATGCAATGGTATGTTTGCAATTTGGGGATGATTTGCTCACATACCTTGCCTTTCTTTTTCTTCTTCTTGCTGCTTGCAGTGGTAAACCCGGCCCAGCTGTCATCGTTCGCGCCATCGGCATCGTCCGCCCAGCTGAGGTTATTGCTGGCTGCAGCTTCTTCGGCAGCTTTCTTCTCCTCTTCCTCTTTTGCCCTTTTCTCCTCCTCTTCCTTAGCCAGTCTCTCCTTTTCCTTGTCTAGTCGTTCCTCTTCTTCCTTGGCCGCCTTTTCCTCCTCCTCTTTCTTCAGTCGCTCTTCTTCCTCCTGTTTCTTCTTCTTCTTCTTGCTCTTTGTGGTTGTAGTGGCCCACGCGTCCCAATCATTGTCCTCTTCGTTGTTCCCGCCATCTCCACCATCTCCACCGTCGCCGCCGTCGCCGCCGTCGCCACCTCCGCCACCTCCGTTGTCGTCCCCTCCATTGCCTCCGTCGCCAGCATCACCGCCCCCGTCGTTGCCATTATTATCACCGTTCTGGTCGTCACCACCTCCCTGATCTTGCTTGTCCCCGCTCTCATCCGGCGGTGGGCTTTTCTTGCGTTGTGGCTGTGAGGTGTTTTTTTTCTTCTTCTTTGCGTGTTCTCGGATACCCTGAATCTTGTCAAAGTCGATCGTTCGAGACGTGGCTTTCTTCTTATCCAAACTCGATGCGGGTTGCGCTGGTGCCGAGTCATCGGCCAGGTCTTTCCGACGAGCGAACGGAGCTAGAGTAGAGTAGTCCGGGGGGAGATCGGTCACAGCTTCGTTGTACGAAGGCGGGGTGTCCTCGTAATACCCATACTCGGGCACCTGGAGATCGGATTCATCTAGTGCTGTGCTCTTCAACACATAGAAAGACTTTTCGGAGGACTCTGATATACTCTTCTATCATGGCATTCCCAGTTAGCCTTTTTTGCGCTGAAATTTGATAATGTATATGACGGGATGCTCAGATAGCTCAAGTCAAGAGGGGCTAGGTCATACCTTGCTATTGCCCGTCGCAAAGGCTCTGTTGCGATTGATGGTTGCAGGGATCTCTCGAACCAATGAGGCGATAGACACCGTGCCCTGATCATGAGGATTCCAGCATGACCTCACGCTGCTTGTCTTCTCTGTCCGGCATGTCGACCAAGACTCCATCGGAGTACGGGTATCACCCCATTTCGACTTTGCGAATTGGCCTTGGTCGAGCATGCGCACGGTCTCCATGCTGGTACGAGCAAGATCAAGCGCATGAGTCTTGAAGGGCGATTGGCCTGCTCCTCTTGAAGAGGCAGTTATCTCCCGTCACCGCAGACTGGAAACACGGGATCTGTACCCTGTTTCCGCGTAGAGATCGGGTATCAGGTGGTAGAATAATCCAGAAATAGAGAGTGCGCCTAACAATGGACACCAAATGAAAGGGTTTAGAGAACTCAGAAAGCCCCCCTTGATATAATTAACAAGCGGCCAGCGCAATCGCAGCCACACTACGCGCAAACTCAGAGGGCCAAAAACGTCACGCTGACGGAGAATTGCAGCCAAAGAAAGGGGGGTGTAGTGGGCCTGCAGGCCTGAGAAAATGCAAAGGACGAAAAGATAAGCGAGCACGAAAAAGGTATATGTTGAAATATGCGAGGAGAAAGCTCGAGAATGATGACGGCAAAGGTTCAGTAGAAAGGGAGAGTAGGGATGCGGAGGCAGGCCATCGAGTCGATGGACCACAAGGCGGTGGACTGGAAGAAACCAAAGAAGAAAGAGAGCGCAAATCTGCTCAATCAAGATCTGGATCCTTCTTCAGAGAATGATTGCGGATTGGCGGGGGTGCGATGCGAAAGCTAGCTCTGGAATGTAAGCTAGTACCGGGGCTTTCAAGACAGGGACGTCAGCCAGCGATCGCGGGTAGGAAAGGGAGGAATTCGGGGAGATGATGGTGGAGTGAAAAGAATCACTGTGTGCAAATCGGAAATTTCGAAGGTCTTACATTTCTGTCCGTCTATGTGATTGACAAGAGTGATTTGCTCCAGCCCAAAAGAAGAACAAACAAAAAAAAAAAGAGTAATCAAAAGAAAAGTACTATAGACCGCGATGAATTCCCCGAGGCCAAAGACGGAGGAGCGTATAGTAGAGTTAGGATGGCGGTGGCTGGGAATGGGACGGCACCGACCACCGGGCTAAGAGATCATTCAGACTGGGGGGAGGGAAATAACAACGCGTGCGAGAGAAAAGGAAGCAATCAGAGTCGTCACTGCTGATCGAACCTGGTCGAGTAGTGCATCAGCAACAATCAAATTACGAGGGTCGAAGGGAGCGAGAAGCAAATAAGAAAGATTGCCAGTGGTGAGAAAGAGAGATCGAGCCCCAAGTCACGCAGGCACAAGCCAGTCACACTCCGAGGGGCGGTGGGCAAACGCGCCTATCGATAACGAGGCCACCCCTCCTTTTGGCCTTTTGGCTGGGTGATCGGAGGAGGGGGAGAGAAGGAACGAGGGGAGATGGCGAGGAAGACACTTACTACTTCTAGTTAAGGGATGTTAGTATAAGTACCGTAGTAACTTCTTGTCAATGCTGTTGCTGCTGCTGCTGCTGCTGCTGCTGCTGCTGCTGCTGCTGCTGCTCCTGTTCTTGACTTGTTGGATGAAGATGTCCATGCTTCCAAACTCACATATAACAGGAAAGATTTCCCCTGGACCGAATTGACTCATGCGCATCGGAACACAAGAGATGCCTTACATTACCGATAGCGGAGCAGGAGGGGAGATATGGAACGTCTTCGTTGTCCACCTCAAGTGGGGACGAAGGGATGGAAATAGTATACAGACTGTCAACACTCAACCTAAAAGGAACACCCGTTCCTTGGTTCGACCTGCGGGCCTGTAGTTTCAATGTGCAGGACTGTACATTGTACATTGTACAGAATGTACAGCACAATGATGCTCAGTATGCAATGGCTCATTCTTGAGGCCAAGCAGCAGGAATCCACTCTCGACCACTGTCTGTGCTACATAGTACGACCGACCCATCAACCCCACGTGCCTCAGACATACTATCTTCTCAACACCACCACCGCAGCAACAGTAGTTCAACTCAACATGAACCACCAGATTGAAACTGCAGGGCTTTCCATCATCCGACATCCTGCAATGGAACCATCAGGCAGCCAAACCACTAAGAAAAAAAAATCTGCCCACCAATACCCTAGGTATACATCATTCAGCGAGGAAAACTCGGGTTCTGTCGAAAAAAGGGAAGCAGTTCTTCACCGCATCGAAGGCGAAGAATAGGCCCGAGCCTATCAAATGCGTGGGCCACTCTGAGAACCCAACGGTCCCAAGCCCCATCTGACGCCAGCCTCCGCTTGACTTTGCTTTTTTCGGTGTTAGTTGATGCGATTGCCTCTACTCTTCAGAAAGGTTTTCGTCCGACTACTGTAGGTGTATCCCAAAAGTGTTTAGCATCGACAGCTGTTCTTGTCGATACCCGCTCGAAGTGCTTGATCAGGAAGTAGATGGTCTTATCCAGAAGGGTATTGAATAAATCTCCACCACTTTTACCTGTACTCCGTAAGTAAATTAAGTTACCGGCTCTCCCGATATCCCGTCCAGCGGCCAAGTCAAGATGCAAGCCCCATCCATCCCTCCGTCCCACTCCAGTTGGCAACACCGCAGGGTGTCTTGTGTCTCTTGTTTTCGTGTCCGGCGTCTACCTCAGAATGTCTCACCATCTTTCTTCAGACGGTGATACAAGCACGGTGCGACTGCGGTTGAACTAGTCAATTGGTCTGCAGGGTGGAAAAAGAAAAGAAGGAGAAAGGAAGAGTCATGAGGAGCTTTGGCCGAAAGCTAATACCCCCGAATCTACCGCCGCAGCCACCGCAAAACCATCATCCCATTGTTACACTCTTAGGTTCAGCCTTATTGTAGTTCAATGCCTTGGAACCCGGAGCTTTCAGAGCTTTCAGAGCTTTCAGAGCTTGCCCCGCACGTAGAGGGCTTGAGGATTCTCCTCCGGATTGAACTGAAGCTCTTTGGCAAAGATCGCGAGTGATTTGTCGGCTATACTGTACATCAATGCGTTCTCGTGCATAGGTCCAACAAGGGAACTGCAATACCATCAGCCATTGCACCGTGCAGAAGCATCAATATACCTCCAGATCACTCTTCCATGGCTCTTGCACTTCGAAAATTGTTCTCGAAACGCGCAGCAGTAGACCTGAAAGGCCCATCGAAGACTCTTCAAGACCATGTAAACAAACCCTCAGAATGTAGCCTGCCTCAACAACACCTCAAAGCTATGCTTGTCAAGCAACTACCACTTCCACCAAATGCTGCTAAAAAGCCTGTTTACACCCCGAGATAATTATTGCAAGGAGACCCGTCCCCAACCGCCAAGCCAGCAGCCCCCAGCTCCAATCCACCGAAGTACATAGTAATAAAAGAATTCCCGCAACGCCATTTCCGCTGATCGACAGTACGGATCTCGCGGGCCCGACAAAAAGATCCTAGGAGAATGTATGCAGGACATATAGCTCAGGGCTTCCGTCCATAACAGTCCCCTCGAGAGAGATTCTCGTCGATTGGGGGTTGCGTGCATGCGGCTTCTGTAATCTCTCCCGGCAGCTGCTTGCAGCGGGTCTAGACTGACCACATCTGTGAGTCACTCTCTTGTCCTGCGTGTTGCTGGCTACTACCTCACCCAAGTAAATGAGATCCGATACGGTTGTATATTGTATCTGATGCAGGATTTTTCAATTTGTTCATGCCCAAGATCCATCTGAGCACATCTGGATCTACCGGAGCCTTCTTCTCTGCGGCTCGAAAGAGGGATTGCGTCATGACGTAGGATGCGATGAGGAGATCCGGTGCGTGGGCTTGGGGTATCAGGGCTCGACCGAAATAGCCCGAGATTTGGTTATTGGAATGAGTTTAGGCGCAGCTGAGGAAACAATTTCACCCGAACTCATTCATTCTGTTTGGTTTGGTTTTCTTCGGTAGACTACAGATGGCAACTTACCCTCCCCGAATGAACTTGGACAAACACAAGACAGGACAGCTGCGGCGGAACCGATACTTGGAGACAGCACAGAAGAGAGAAAAAGAAAACTGTTTGTTTACACAATGTCCCCAGATCCTGCGAGCCTGATAACCCATTACAAATCCCCATACTTAAACAAGTTGCATTTCATTGCTCAACAGAACGATCAGCGCAGGTTTCCAGTGCCATGGTGTGAGGATGGTCGTATCACGGTCTCCTGGTCCCTATCCTTACTCGCGTCGCGCCTTGGGAAGGTTCAAAGGCTCGTCGCCATAGACCTCCCTATACTCGCGAAGGTAACGCTCTTTGTCCTCTCGGTAAGCCTGGTTGTAAGCCTGCCATCTGGTGTTAGTGCTCTCCAACGCGGCCACTGCTACGATTTGATCTTGAACATTACCTTTTTCTCCTCCGGCGACAAGGCCTTCCACAAGGCACTGATACGTTGACTCCGCTCAGCCAAGGGAAGATTGCCGAGGTGAGGATCTTCCAGGATTTGAGTCTTGGTGAAGAGGGCATAAGGATGTAGGGGGCGGGCAACCAGGCGAGGGTCCTCGATCAGGGAAAGTCTGGATTGCCGTTTGCCGGTAAGTTTGACAAGCCTGCGCCGGGCAATGTTGGCATCGCGGATTTGAGCAGGAGTGTAGGTCTTGATCCAATCAGCCATTAATTGCTCGTTCAATTTCTTGTTCTCCTCCGCAATGCGTTCGTATTCCTGGTTTGAAGCCAAATCATTAGCATCGATCTTTCATGTATAGCAAGAAGCTTAGCAGTACCTCGGCCTGCTCAGATCGCAGATTCCGAATGCGCTCTTGGAGTTCATTGATCATATATACGCCCTGCATATGTAATCCCTCCTTGGCAAGTAATTTCCCGGCCTCATTGCGAGCCACAGCATACGCCGTCGTGGGATGCAACCGAGGCGGGGTGAGACATAGGGCCTTGCATTCTTTGATCTGCTTCTTCTTCTCGCGCAAACTCAGCTTCTCTTCCTGTTCGGGAGTCAGAGCTTTCTTCTGTCGCGGCTTCGGCTCCTTCGTGGCCTTCTTCGTGGCCTTCTTCGTCTTTCCTGTCGCCTCATTCGTCTTCTTCACCTTGGCGCTCCCCTTGGACTCGGTCGCCTGCACCTTTCGGACCTTGGGGATCGAGTTGGCCGCCTTGGGCTCTGAAGCCTTGGCCTGAGCCGCAGTCGCGTATGTGTTCGTCAAGCCTCGGGACAGAAGAGGGGCGCGTGCCGCGATTGCACCGACAAACCGACCACGGGATAACATCGAAAGACGTTGAACGTGGGCGTGAGAGATCATTTGACGGACGGGACGTGAGAAAGCATCGCTGATGTTGAGGTGCTGGAGGAACACTCCTCCCTGGCGAACGAGTTTCGCGGGCATGGTTTCGGAACTAACGCTTGGAGGTCAACTAACATAAACACGGGAATATTTATCGGAGTGGAAGATTGAGGAGAAATTCCGAGGGGAGATAGGCAGAGGGAGAGATACCTACCAAATTTTTTGGGCGAATCAGTTCTCCTTCTATATTGAAGGAAGTCTGGCTCTGTTTCTCCTTCGCAGGGGTACAGAGCTCACTGACGGAACCGGAAGAGGTTGGGAAGGTCAGGTAACGGGTGGAGACTGGAAGGCACGCCGTAGCAGGTAGGTAGTTGCCCGCCCGCCCGCCCATACGATCCATACTTAGGTCATAATCCTATCGGGAAGAGCTATCACACGTGACTTGATCAGTCGCAGTCCGATGTCTATGATTCACGTGATGAACGACCTTGCTAACTGCGGCCCGTCCGACTCTCCCAATTAATGCCGGGCCAAGAATACAACCCAACGGAGATACAGCATCTACTCAGCCTTCTCCGACTGAGACTTGCCACCCACGCAACATCGGCATACTAATCACCCGGTATACTTGGAACAGAACTGAATGGAAGGGTAAACATCCACTGCACTATCCTATCCAAATCCAAGTGCTCGAGCTTTCTTGAGTCTCAGTAATACTCACTCATCGTTGGCCTGCAACAATGGCTCGCCACGGGGATACTCGCTCACCATCACCTGTAGGCAGCACATACTCCTCATCCAGACGGAGTCGCAGAGACGATGATCGCTATGAGAGGAGCAGGCGCGACGATGGCAGGAGTTACCGCCGCTCACGCAGTCCGGAGGTGAGTTTTTGTGCCCAAATTCGTCTTATCTTGTTGGAGGCTTTGGTCTAATGTGCTCCCTACCAATTCAGCGTCGGTATCGTGACCGTGAACGCGACCGCGACCGAGACTCCTACCGGAGACGCGACCGCTCAATAGACAGACGTGACGACTACCGCGATGAAGACAGTTATCGCCCCAGCCGTCGGGATCGCTCTCGCGATCGGCGCCGATCAAGAGACCGAGACGACCAGCGGGATTACCGCCGAAGAAGCCGCGATAGGGACTATCGAAGCAGGCGAGAAGATTCCCGTGACCGGGCACGGATACGGACAGATGATTCTGCTGACTTGAAGCACAAGTCTAGACGGGACGACAGCCGGGATCGGGCCAGACGCCCGCGGTCCAGGTCTCGTGATGTAAGCTAGCCCGGCTTTTTACTATTTTATGGATCAAGGCTGACATGCTCATCATAGGCATCGAAACCGTCGACTCCAGCAACACCCGCCGCCCAAACAGAAGACGAGAAAAGAGCGGAACGGCGCGCGAAACTGGAGGCATGGAAACAGAAACAGGCCGCCGAGAAGGAACGCAAACAGCGGGAAGCTGCGGCGGCTGGTGGAGCCAGAAGCATTCTGGAGGAGATTGATAGAAAGTCTGGTCTCTCACCGGCTGTCAGTTCGCCTCAATCCCCGGCAACGCCAGCTGTTGAAGTGGTACCGGCTACGTATGCAGGAAAGTTTGATCCGAAGGCTATCGCAAAGAAGGGAACATCGGCAGCTTCGCCCGCACCGTCTGTATTGGGCAATGATGTTGCTGTTCCACTGCCGTCAAAGCCCTCTGCCACGACCTCTGGCAGTCCCGCTCCAGCTACGAGCAGCTCTTCATGTACGTTCCCGCCTCCCATCCATACTTGTCAGTTCACGACTAACCTGAGCATTCCAGCCACCTTGAAGGCCAAGGGTAATGTAGGAAGATTTGGGCTAGGAACCAGGCAGGCTGGGGAGGCCGAGAAGTCCACTGCTACGCGAACCCTGGGATTCGGAGAGGAGGAGTCAACGCGACGGAAGCTTGAGAGGCTGCCCACCCCACCTCTAGAGGATTCGAAAGATACAAACGGAACTACAGGTGTTTCGGCTGAAGATGATGACGAGGATGATGTCGACATGCATGAGGGGGGCACCGAAGAAGAGAATGCGGCAGCTGCGCGGGCAGCGGCCGAAAGACGAGAGGAGCGTTTGCAATTAGCTCAGTCCACGGACACCTCGCAAGAAGCTAATGGTGACACTGTCATGGAAGACGCAGCTGACAACCAGCCTGGCGACAACATGGAACTTGACGCCCAGGAAGAAGAGGAGGAAGTTGATCCATTAGATGCTTTCATGTCCGAACTAGCCGAAACTGCTCCTCCGAAGAGAGCGGGTGGCGTGAAGTTCTCGCGCGCCAAGGAACAACAGCCGGAGGCTATTTTCGGTGACGAGCACGATGTCGACGTGTCTGCCGTCGGCGAAGGAGATGCCGATGACTTCCTTGCTATAGCCAACAAGGCGAAGAAGAAGAAGGACATCCCCGCAGTCGATCACCAGAAAGTAGAGTACGAGCCGTTCAGGAGAAAGTTCTACACTGAACCCTCTGATCTGGCGCAAATGTCTGAGGAGGAAGCGGCAAGCCTGCGGCTGGAACTCGACGGCATCAAAGTTCGTGGTGTGGATGTTCCGAAACCCGTGCAGAAGTGGTCTCAGTGTGGATTAGGCGTGCAAACTCTGGATGTGATTGAAAAGCTTGGATATGAGAAAACTACCTCTATCCAAGCGCAGGCCATTCCTGCGATCATGTCTGGCCGAGATGTCATTGGCGTGGCGAAGACAGGTTCGGGCAAAACGATTGCGTTCTTGATTCCCATGTTCCGGCACATCAGGGATCAACGGCCGTTGGAGAATATGGAAGGGCCTGTCGGTCTAATCATGACACCTACTCGCGAGCTGGCAACACAGATTCACAAGGACTGCAAGCCATTCCTCAAAGCCCTCAACCTTCGGGCAGTCTGTGCGTATGGTGGAGCTCCCATCAAAGACCAGATTGCGGACCTCAAGCGTGGCGCTGAAATAGTCGTCTGCACGCCCGGTCGTATGATCGACCTTCTCGCAGCTAACGCTGGCCGAGTCACGAATTTGCGTAGGGTCACATACGTCGTTCTCGACGAGGCCGACCGCATGTTCGACATGGGATTCGAACCGCAAGTGATGAAAATCATGGCCAACATCCGACCCGATCGGCAAACTGTGTTGTTCTCCGCCACTTTCCCGCGGAACATGGAAGCGCTGGCTCGCAAGACTTTGACCAAACCGATCGAGATTGTGGTCGGCGGTAAGAGTGTTGTCGCTCCCGAGATCACGCAGATCGTCGAGGTTCGCAACGACGACCAAAAGTTCGTACGCCTGCTGGAATTGCTTGGCAACTTGTACTCGAACGAAGAGAACGAGGATGCGCGGGCTCTCATCTTCGTCGACCGCCAGGAAGCCGCGGATACGCTCCTCCGCGAGCTCATGCGCAAGGGCTACCCATGCATGTCTATCCATGGCGGCAAGGATCAGATCGATCGTGACTCCACGATTGAGGATTTCAAGGCTGGTATCTTCCCGGTTTTGATTGCTACCTCAGTTGCGGCGCGCGGGCTCGATGTCAAGCAGCTTAAGCTTGTTGTCAATTATGATGCGCCGAACCATCTCGAAGACTATGTTCACCGTGCTGGACGTACTGGACGGGCTGGAAACACCGGAACGGCTGTCACCTTCTTGACGGAGGACCAGGAACGATACTCGGTCGACATTGCGAAAGCGCTCAAGCAGAGTGGACAGAAGATTCCGGAGCCGGTGCAGAAGATGGTCGACTCGTTCTTGGAGAAAGTCAAAGCAGGCAAAGAGAAGGCTAGCGCATCCGGCTTTGGTGGTAAGGGTCTGGAGCGACTGGATCAGGAGCGTGATGCTGCGCGTCTGCGTGAACGACGCACGTACAAGACCGGCGAAGAAGGGGAGGAGGAAGAGGAGAAAGACGAGAAGAAGAACGAACAAGCCGAAGACCGGTTCAGCAAGGCCATCTCATCGGTCCAGGCCACGGCGTCAGCGTCGACCAGTATGCCCGGGGTTCCCAAGGGTATTGATCTGGACGGCAAGATCACGGTGCACAAGACCGAGAAGGATCCCAACAGCACGTCGAAGAACCCCCTGGACAAGGTGGGCTCGGCTGTTGCGGATATCCATGCTCGTCTGAGCCGTGCGGGCGTGATGAGATCCGGAGTGCCCATCGACAACCGTGGGCCGGATGCAGGCGCTTTCCATGCCACCTTGGAAATCAACGACTTTCCCCGTAAGCTCATCCTCTACCCAATTCAATCTACAAATACTGATTTCTGCTACAGAGAAAGCTCGCTGGGCTGTCACCAACCGCACGAACGTGGCGAAGATCCTCGAATCCACGGGCACGTCGATCACCACCAAGGGCAGCTTCTATGCGACGGGCAAAGAGCCTGGTCCTGGCGAGAACCCCAAGCTGTACATTCTGGTGGAAGGCGAGACCGAGCTGGCCGTCACGAACGCCATGCGCGAATTGATGCGGTTGCTGAAGGAGGGCACGATCGCGGCGGCGGACAGCGACGCCCGCGCGCCGGTGGGTGGCCGGTACAACGTGGTCTAGTGGCGAATTTCGGAGTGTATTATAGAAACGGTGACCATGTTTTATGTCTGCATTGTAGTAAAAGTAGCCTGCTAGGGTATTCACCTTGCGCCATGCGCCATGCGCCATTCTTATACGGAAATCCATATATCACCGCACATATTAAGAGACAAATCCAAACCAACACAATGACTGCTAAGCGTATCCCAACTCCACGCAGCCCAAAAACAATCAACCCACAACCTCACCACCCACCCAGTATGTACACCACCCACCTAAACCCTCCCTCGATCAAAGCTCACTGCCACCGCCGTGCCTCAGCCGCCCCATCCGCATCACGCGCCGCCACCTCCGCACGACTCGCCTCACTCAACGTCTGCGCCTGGGTCTGCGTCTTCTGGGCGGCCAACTTGGACCCCAATTTGCCCTTGTTGGCCGAGTGATTCGCTGACTCGGCGCGTCTCTATCCCCAGGCAGAGATATATCAGCCGGTGATCCATTTTACCTTCCCCCGTTAACCCTTCAACGGATCTCTGGGAAATCGGGCCGAAGCAGTGAATGTGGGAATGGGGGTGAACTCACCTGCGCCGCCAACGCAGCATTGGCCCGCGCGTCCGCGGTGCCAGCACCCGGTGCCGATGAGGTATTCGCTCCGCCGGAGCCAGAGCCAGCCCCCGCTCCACCTCCGACGGTCCTTCCCCCCGACCCGGAGCCCCAGTTGGTGTGCGAGGTGGATTTGGGGAGCGGTGCGCGGGGGCCGGAGGGGGCGGTGGTGGTCGGGTCGGTGTTCGCGCCGAGGACGCGACCCGGTTGGGCGAAGGCGTCGGGCTCGTTGGAGGACTTCGAGCAGAGGTTTCCCATTTTTGGTGTTGGGTTGAGGTGAAGGTGGAGGTAGTGGTAGCGGCTATGGGGTCCGAGGTGCCGTGCGGGGGTGAGATGCGTGGCGGGTGTTGTTTGCTTGCGGAGGAGGAAGAGGAGGGTGCGGTGCGCTTCGAGTTGTGTTGCACGGTATGGATATAGTATAGTAGGTTGACTGGGGTAATTGCTGGCTGTGGCTGGATGGGTGTGGCTGTAGTAGAGTAATGGGATGCAGGGTCCGTTCGATGGGGTCGGAATTGGGGATACCTGGGATGCCTGGGATGCGGCGGCGATGCGGTGGTGCAGGGCCCGAAGCACGTAGCCCGGGGCCCGTAGGCAGCCGCCGGCACGTGCGGGAGCCGCTAACTCAACGGTCGGAAGGAGCCTTACTTGGGTTGAGGTGGTTTGTTGCTGATTTGCTCATGGCGCTGTCGTTGGTGGGATTTCTCTCCTAATCTCCTCAGCTAAGTCTCTTCGGAGTATTACTGTTTCAGTCTGGCCAGTTGCTGGAGTTGGATAATAGTACTCAGTAACATAATATACTGTGGTTATTGTGTTGAATCTGCCATGCCACTCATTAATATCAGGATTCTGAACCACCAACCTCAGGCATCTATATTCAAGGCGGCAAGCTATTTGGCGGGCAGAATCCGACCCCAGAGATTTCCCGCCCATGCAAGTCTTAAAGTGGATGAATGGACTTCCTGCCAACTCGGACAGATTGACTCTCCCTGTTGTTCCTCATCATTCAAAGCAGACTGAATCAGATATGAATGACTCGAGATAAATCCCACCCATGCAGCCGTCTACACGAAAATACCCGAGACGAGAACTCTGACAAACACGGGGGAACGATTGGCTGCCGCCGGGCCAGACATGACGCCATCTCCCAAGGTCCTCGTTGCTCGACCCCTCGTCCACAAGGTCCTCACTCTTTTCCCCTCCGATTAGATCTTCTTCCCGTCTGTTCTTCCCGTATTGCGACCGTATCGGTACCGAAAATACCTGCCCTATTCGCCCTACTCCCTACACTCACCCCCCCCAAACTCGGCCCTGACTCCTCCCCGAAAGTTCCCTGAAGAATTGGTACTCGTTACCTCCGACTGGTATCTGAGTTCAACATTATCCTAGGACTCGATGGCCTGCTAAATCCCACATCCCACATCGGATCCCTACATGCGCCCTCATGCTGGCCCCCAAGGTCCTCAGGCTCTTTTGCCCGCTCACTCCAGGCGGTCTGTCTTTTCTCTTCACGCCTCTTGGTGATTCTTGCGCATAGTCTCTGTCGCACCACAGGGTTTTAAGCTACCGCTGGAACGATCCATTGCAGATTCTGCTGCTCTAATTGGTATGTGATCTGTCATGCCCGCTCGCGTGGTGGAGGAGGATGACGAGAACTGGGCTGACTTGCCACACCTGCAGTGGGCGACCGAACACCCCCCAAATAGTCTCCAGAACAGACCATCAGTCTATTTTCCCACAAGTCCCCGCTCCTATCGGTCGTCAGGGCGGAGGGTTCCGTAAGACTGTCACTTGATCGACTCCTTCGTTCTTTGCCTTTGCACGGAATTCCCATCCATGACCTTCCCTCCACACGACACCATGGCCTCGCACACGAAGAAAGACGATTTCTGTCTGGAGTGCCACTGGGAGGCATTCCATCTGGATGCCAAAGACCCGGAGGAGCCTACCGGGGCGGAGGCTCCAGTGCCTCAGTGGAATTGTTCCGAGGAGGATCAGGTGCTCCCCCACTGTGAGGTCGGGGAGGACTGCCCCGTGGACGACGATTGCTGTGACATGGACAATTGCTCCGTCACCTGCCCGTCGGTCTGCGACGGGTTCGTCGACTGCGACGAGGTTGCCGTGTGCTCTGTATCACATTGCGACGATGCTCACTGCAACGATTCCCATTGCGACAGCACGGACCCGGTGTGCTTCGACGAGCACTGCTTCGGCAGCGGCAGCCACGCCGACGGCGAGCACAGCCTGGAGGCGTTATTAGCGTTGGGGTCGCCGCTGAACCTCGAGTCCAGCGACCTCCTGGCGTCGACCGCGCTGCCCCCGGTGCCGGGCGAGCCGCCCAAGAGCGTCGGGCTCCCTGCGGCCCCCGGGCTCGTGGGTTCCACAGATGCCTTCTTCGCTCCCTTCGCGCCTGTCCCGGTGTCACACTGTCACGCTCACAGCCACCAGCATTTCCAGTGCCACGACTTCTCCAAGGACGCGCACCACGCCTGGTATCCGATGCCCACCTCGGTCAACCCGGCGGACGTCTTCCACATGATGGGGGTGTGTCCGGACCTGACGGCCTGCCATCACCAGTATCATGTGCAGCAGGTGCCGGATTGCAGTGAACATCCCAAGCCCACGGACGATCCGGCCTCAAATTCATTTACCTGCTTGCACATCAATCCGAACCCGAACCACACCCCTAACCACGATCACGGCCACGGCCATTCCCACGGTCACAGTCACAGCCCCCACTTCCACACCCACCATGCGACCGAGACGGCCGCGATGACCGACCCAACCGCCACACACGAACCGCCAATTCCTAATCCCACGACACACCGCAAACCGTGCCGGACGCACGTCCATCGCTGCCGGACGCACAGCCACGCGCACCACCATTACTCGCCGTACTCGCCGTACTCGCGCCAGTCGCGGTCCAGCGTGAGCTCGCAGCTGAGTCCCGGGGACACGCCGCCTCCGCTGGACGGAGGCTCGTCTTCTGTGCTGACCAGCCCAGAGTACATCCCGGAGGAGGCCCACGTGTGCCGATGGACGACCATCACGGATGGAATCCAGAAGCCGTGCGGCGCCACCTTCTCGGACTCGTGCGGCCTGCAGGAGCATCTCATCGGCAGCCACATGGCCACGGTGGCGGGGGCCAAGGGGACGGGGTATTACTGCTGTTGGGAGGGGTGTCACCGCCCGGACGAGCCGTTTTCGCAGAAGTCGAAGCTGCAGGGCCACTTTCTGACGCACAGCAACTGTACGTTTACTGAGTGTGTCCCCCCGACCATCCTTGCTGACACTGACGCGGGGTAGACAAAAACTTCAAGTGTTCGGTCTGCGGCAAGTTCTTTGCGCGGCAGGCGACGCTGGAGCGGCACGAGCGCAGCCACCGCGGGGAGAAGCCGTACAAATGCGCCGAGTGCGGCAAGTCGTTTACCGACAGCAGCGAGCTGAGTATGTTTTTTTCTTTTTTTTTTTTTGTTTTTTTGCCTGCATCAAGGCCGGTGGGTGACTAACGTGGTGTATAGAAACGCATTCGCGGACGCATACGGGCGAGAAGCCGTTTAAATGCACGTATCCGGGGTGTACCTTTCAGACGGGCGATGTAAGTTTTTACCTGAAGATGAGGAGATGCAAACTGACAGGTGCAGTCGTCCAACATGTCCAGTCACCGTTTGAGTACGTACACAACTTACTTGGAAAAAAAAAAAAAGAGTAAACTGACCGGTCTAGCGCACGGGGAACGACGGCATAAATGCCATTATCCGGGGTGTACGAAGAGCTTCACTCGACACGGTGGGTGCCGCCCGGTGTATCAATTTGATTATAAAACTGACAGGAGACAGATCAATTGAAACGACACCTGAAAAGCACCCACAAAGACAGCGGCAGCAACAGCAACAGCATGGCGATGCCCTCGCCCTCGCCATTGACGGAGCAATTCGGCCTGTCGCTCGCCGAGGTGGCGTGACCTTCCACTTCACTTTCTTCAAAGACAGGACTCCAAAAAAGAAATATTGATACGATATTGATACGATACCCCCAGTATATATGAAGGTTGACGGTTGCAGACCAGGGATGTATTCTAGACTGAATATAGGAATAATCATGATGAAGTCACAAAATCTACCACAATACAATACATACCCCGAGAACCCAACTCATACGTTCGTATAGTATACAATCCACCACCCCCAATCCTTATCCTTTATTCTAAACCCTATTCCTCATGTCCCCTCAATTCCAACCCCTCAACCGCGGCCTTCAACTCCCGCACCCGCTGCCCCACCCTCCTCCGCACCTCCTGGCGGACGGCATCCTCAATCCCCTGCGGATTCAACCCGGTATCGATCTTCACCTCCTCCCCGTCTAGCAACTTCTCCACCCCCGACCGCCCCGCCGCGTCCAGTAGCGACACGTCTCGTGTGTACAGCGTGTACACGGCCAGCAGCTCGTTCAGGGCGTCGCGCGCCGCCTCGCGGTCCGAGGCCGCGTAGATTGTTGCTGCGTCGGTGCTTTCGGTGGCGATTTCGAATTCGTCCTTGGCTGTTTCGTACCTTTCCGCACTCTGTTAGTTGGGGTTGAGCGAAAGGGGGGGCGCTATTCTTATGAGGCATATTATTCGTAAGGGGGTGAAAGGGGTAGGGACTGGGTGGGGGAAGTGGTTTGAGGGAGTCGGGGATTGGGGATTGGGGATTGGGGATTGGGGATTGGGGCAGGGGATGGGGCTGGGCTGGACTGGACTGGGCTGGACTGGACTGGACTGGACGTACAGATCCTGGAGCTCTTCGACGATGATGTCGCTTGTTGATTTACCGGTTGTGTAGGGTCTTCTTCCGCATGGCGGGGTGTGAAGGAGGGGGAGGCGGGGGGTAGGCTTTTGGTGGAGGGTGCGGGTGAGGGTGAGATTATGTCTTTGGGGATTTGCTGCTGCTGCTGCTGCTGCTGTTGCTGCTGTTGATAGAGGTCGGAGACGGAGGAAGGATGCCGGTGGGCGGGATTGAGGGGGGTGGTGGAGGGTGCGCGGCGGGAGCTTGGTGCGGGTCAGGGTGCGGGCGGACATGGTTCTCTTTCTTTGCAGGGTGGGTTCAAGTGCTGGGTGAATTGACGTGGATTGACTTGATGATGGCCTAGTTGATGGATGGAATTGAGTTCAGTGGGTAAGTTAAGCCCAAGCCAAAGCAACTGCACAGTGCGGATTAAAGACGAGAAGGATGATGACATGTGACATGTGACATGTGACATGACATGACATAACGTAACGTCGCGGAGCACTCACGTGCCTGTCTACGTCTACTACAACCTCCACAGAAGTACAACACTCCCGCAAAATCTCCTCCGGAGATCAATGGACTCTATACATCTAACTCAATTGATCTGTATCCTGCTAAGCTAGGTCGTAAACTTCAACCCCCCATTCGCACACACCACACTCCCCGTACACCACCCCGCATCCTCGGAGCACAACATCCCCACCACACCGGCAACCTCGGCCGTGAACCCGGGCCGCCGGCCGCCCATCTTCTCGCGGATCAACCGCTTCTGCTCCTCCGTCAACTGCCCCACCAACGGGTCCTCCTCAAACATCTTGCTACCCGGCGTATTATCCTGGAACCCCTGCATCTGCTGCCAGAACGCCTCGCCGGTGGCGAAGTACATGTCCCCGATGACGGGGCCGGGGTTGACGGCGTTGACCGTGGCGACATCGGCCAGCTCGCGCGCCCAGGTGCGCGTCATCGCCTCGAGCGCCGCCTTGGTGCCGCCGTACACGCTCTGGCCCGTGAAGCCCAGCGACGACGAGATGGAGGAGATGTTGACGATGCGGCCGGCGCGCGGCGGCGTGCGCGGCAGGTACGGGGCGATGGCCTGCGTGAGGAGCAGCGGCGCCAGCACGTTGATCGTGTAGTGCCAGTGGAAGTAGTCGGCGTCGATGGCGCCTTTGGTTGCGTCGTTGAGGAAGCGGTCCTTGCTGACGCCGGCGTTGTTGATCAGGATGTCGATCGTCAGCGATGGTTGTGCAGCGGAGGTGGAGGAGAACTCGGCCTTGGCGACGTCGAGGATGCGCTCGATGGCTGGCGCCGGGTCGGAGAGGTCGGCCTGCACGGGCACGCACCGGATCGAGTGCTCGCGCGCCAGCTGTGCGCAGAGCGACTCGGTGCGCGCCCGCGACGAGTCTGACGTGTAGTTGAGGAGGAGCGAGCAGCCTTTGCGCGCGAGGTTGTGCGCGATCGCTTCGCCGATGCCTAGTAGGGGGTTAGATGGATGCGCTGTAGTCAAAGTGGGTGTAAACTGGCAGGTGCCTACCCCGCGATCCGCCGGTGATGATGGCGAGTTTGCCTGCGAGAATGCCCGACATTTTGAAGGGAGGGGGGGTGTGCTGTGCTGTTGAAAGGTGTAGCGGGGGAAGTGAGGGGAGAAAGTCAAGACTCTGTCTGGCTGCAGCAATTGATATACTTTGCCGATTGAGTTGACTAACTCATCACGGTTAATTTGTTCGTCCAGTGCTCTGGATGGTATGTACCTCCGGATAATTGTTGTTGATCAGCTGGATGCTGAAGATCTCCACTTGCGATGCTACCTAGTCTCGTACTCACCAAGTATACGCCGGGAAATTCCCCAATCGGGCACACTCCGGCGGCACATCTCCATCTCCATCCACAGTAACTACTCCATCCATACATCAAGTTAACACCTCCAGACATACCTACAGCAAGCACATTATACTCAACAACAACAAAACCATCCAGCCTCACTCCAACGCCCAAACCAAAGCTACCCCAACTTCACCCCCTTGAACCGCCTCGCATTCTCCTCAATCGCCCTCTCCACCGGCAACCGCTCCATACTACTCGCCCCGAAGAACCCATGTACGCCCTTGACCTTCCCCAAGACATACTGCGCATCGTCCGGACTGGCCACCGGGCCCCCATGACACAACACAATGACCTCCTCATTGATTTTCACCACTGCATCCCGCACCGCCTGAACGACGGCCACACTCTCATCCAACGATAAACTCGTCTGCGCCCCGATCGTCCCCGAAGTCGTCAACCCAAGATGCACGACAATCACATCCGCGCCCGCGCGCGCCATGCGCTCGCCCTCGTCCACGTTGAACACGTACGGCGTCGTCACCAGATCCAGCTCGTGCGCCAGCCGGATCATCGCCACCTCGCGCTCGTACCCCATCCCCGTTTCCTCCAGGTTGGCCCGGAACTTGCCGTCGATCAGGCCGACCGTCGGGAAGTTCTGGACGCCCACGAAGCCCAGCGAGCGCAGGTGCTGCAGGAACGGCCGCATGTCGCGGAAGGGGTCGGTGCCGCAGACTCCCGCCAGGACGGGGGTGTTTTCGACGATGGGGAGGACTTCGGAGGCCTTGGTCTGGTTAGCTTCTGGTGTTGGGGGGGAGAAAGGGAGGGGGGCGAGGGGCGAACCATGTCGACTACGACCGCGTTGGCATCGGAGTAGGGCATCATGCCCGCCAACGACCCCCGGCCGGCCATGCGGAACCGGCCTGAGTTGTAGACTAGGATCAGGTCGGCGCCGCCTTTTTCGATGAATTTGGCGGAGAGCCCAATTCCTGTTTTGGGGAGAATTTAGTTGCTGTTTGGATGGATGTTGGGACAGTAGGAGGGGGGGGTACCAGCTCCGGCGCCGACGATGATGGAGCCGTCGGCGATGGTCTTGCGCAAACGCGCGAGGACTTCTTGTCGGGTTGTTGGGCGCATTTTCGTTGGATTGTCGTTTGAGCAGAGAAGATTCGTTGGCAGACAAACGACGGTGGAAAGGAAACTGGGAGGGGTGGAGGGGCACCGTTAAAGAGGGGAGAGAGGAGGGGAGGGGCAAACAACATCATCGTGCATACTCTCTCTCCTCTTCATACATCATTCTCAACCCCACCTCAGCCCTCATTCGATTACCTTCTTTAATCAGCACAACAACACCACCATCCACACATTGATCTATGACTATGTCCCCATAGCTAAATCAAATCCTACCATCATAACAATACCAAAATGACAGACCGTCCCACCGTCCTCCTAATCGGCACCTGCGACACCAAATGGGCCGAACTGCAACACACGCGCCAGCAACTGCTCGCAACCCCGACCACCCCCCGCCCAACCGTCTTGCTGCTCGACATCGGGCGCGAGCCCTCTCACCACGAAGAAATCAGCATCCCCCACCCCTCCCTCCCCTGCCAGTTCGACATCAAGAACAATGACCCCGAACCTGAACCCAAAGACTACGCCTCCCTCCCGCGCCAACTCTACCTCGAAGCCGCCACCGCGCGCACCCAGCGCACCATCGCCTACCTACGCACCCGCAACCAGCTGCACGGCATCCTGGCCCTGGGGGGCAGCTGCGGCACGACCGTCGCGACAGCCGCCATGCGCGCCGCGTGCCCCATCGGGTTCCCGAAGGTGATGGTCTCGACGATGGCGAGCGGGGACATAGGCCCCTACGTCGAGGAAACCGACCTGACCATGATGTACAGCGTAGTCGACATCGCGGGGACCAACGCCATCCTCACCAAGATCCTGGACAATGCGGCCGCGGCCGCGGCCGCGATGGCCGCCGTGCAGTTCCGGCGCGACCAGCAGGACCAGCAGCTCCTGGACCGGTGCCATCCCCAGGGCCACATTACCGCCCAAGAACCCCGGCAAAGGGTTACCGCCGCCGACAGATCCCGGTGGCCCGTCAAACCCACCCCCAAACGAATCGGAATCACCATGTTCGGCGTGACCACCCCCTGCGTCACCGAGATCCAGACTCTCCTGGCTGCGTCGCCTACGGCCACGGAGGTGTTCATCTTCCACGCTACCGGGTCCGGCGGGAAGGCCATGGAGCGGCTGATCCGCGAGGGCGAGCTGGACGCCGTGATCGACGTGACCACCTCCGAGGTGGTCGATGAGCTGGTCGGCGGCGTGCTCTCTGCTGGTCCAGATCGACTCGATGCTGCCGCCGCCGCGGGCATCCCGCAGGTGGTCAGTGTGGGGGCTTGCGATATGGTCAACTATGGGCCGCCGGGGACGGTGCCGGAGCGGTTCAAGGGACGGCGGATTTGGGAGCATAATTCTACTGTCACGTTGGTGAGAACATCCCCTGAAGAGAATCAGAGGGTTGGGGAGTTTCTGGTGGGGAAGTTGAAGAAGGCAAAGGCGCCGGAGCAGGTGGTGGTCGTGCTGCCGACAAGGGGGTTGAGTATGTTGGATGTCCAGGGCGGCGTGTATTGGGATCCCGAGGCGGATGAGGTGCTGTTTCGCACGGTGGAGGAGGGGTTGCGGGGGTCCGGGGTGGAGGTGGTGAGGAGGGCGGAGGACGTGAATGCCCCGGCGTTTGCGAGGGGGTTGCTGGAGGTGTTGGGGAGGGTGATGGGGTGTCGGTTGGTTTGATGTTGCCGTTGGGAGGGGGTATGGGGGATTATTGGTTCGTATGCAAGAAGCAGGTCAGGAGCGTGTTGGTGGTGTGGTTTGCTGGAGGTGCAAGAATGATACTACTGTTGATATGTGCGTGTGCATGGAAGTATGGTGTCTATGGTAAATAACATAATGAAAGAAGAGACTGGCTTATTCTTGCTAGAAGTATGCTAGTATCTGCTCTCTCCACGCTACAGGATCACTCTTGAACAGAACCAGGGACAGTACCAGTGCCCTAACTCCAGTAAACCCCATCGCCACAGCTGCCACGAGCATGACCCCAAGAAATGCACCATACCTCCTCTCCACCCCCAAGCCACGTCCCAAAATCAACCGATTGCGCAAGGCCACAAGTCTTGTATTCCGCCCAGTACATCAGCCAATCCCCACCATCCCACCACCAGCCCCATCGCAAACGCACATCCTACCATCCCTCCACCAAGAATCCTCAAACCCCCCAAAATACCATGGCGCCGGGAGTCACCGGACCACCGTAAACCACAACCGCACCGCATTCCCGTTTCTGTTTGCGGGCTTGCATTTATGCTGTTTGGTCTGTCGGCCACAGCGGAAGCGGGGGGGGGGAGGGGGGGGCTGCTGTTTGCTAGCGCAATAGTTAGTAAAGGGTTGGCAGATACAGTACCAAGCTGAATTCTTAGGGTTTCATTGTAGAAGAAAGGATCCTTTTTGGTGTGTGTGTATGTGTGTGTGTATGTGTGTGTTCTATGTATACGTACACATACATGTGTATTTAACACCAAAAGTAATCGCCCAGCTGCTTCTGTTGTCTAAGATATAGTCAGAACTGCAGGTTTAGATAAGGGTTTGGAATAAGGCATTTGATCCCGAAAAGTCGATGTTGGTGACGTTCGAACAGCGAGTTGTGGTTTTATCCCATCCTGTCAAAATAGGGGCCACATAAAAGTATATCAAAACCCAATCAGCAATAGCCACAACTTCGCATGCATATATACCGCCTGGGAGCTACTGAGTAAAAGGATGTTAGAACAACCTAAGTTCTATGTGAACCAGTCTGATCTATCTCCTAGTCCGAATGTTAGGACTCATTGTCGCCATCATTGATAATAATCAGCCAGTTAGACCGTCATCCGTCCAGGTGTATGCCTTTCTGATCGCGTGCGACAGATAGAGTGCGACATGGTTATACTAGCCTGTGGGTAAATATACTACTTATTGTATGATGATGCTAACACCAGGGGGCTTTGCAGCATGTTTACCAGCTATACGCCCGCCAAGCTGATATATAGAACACTTGAAGATGTTATTACCAGGGACTAACTTATTCTAAGAATAGTCTTTCCCTTTCTGAACAAGTCTTTGCCTAATATCATCCCTAATATAGCGTCGGCGTGATTATACAGTACTAGTATATACTTTAGGAATCTGGCTTTCAGGCACTGGCAGCACAAAATCAATCAATCCATATCTTTGAACATTTGGACCAACTAGACAAAAATAAAGTATATAATAATAAAACGTCTTCTCCGCGTATATTTCAAATCCAGCACTACTAGTAGGTTGCAAAGTTCCTGCCACCTTTACTTGGTGTCATATTCCAGATCCCTCCCGGCATCAAATATGACTGGTTAGTCTATTTAGTATGTGAAGAACAACGTCTGCAGTGTTCCAGTCCAGCCACCTTGTAATTACAGTGACATCTATTTCCACCCTCAACTCACCTTCTAGTTCACAGGGCAGTGAACAAATTCTACATCTCATTTTACCAATATGTCCACTATAAGGCCGGGGATCTCCGGCCGCGGAGTTAACGGACAAGAGAGAGCATGACGGAGTTAAAAACGCAATCTCCGTCGAGGAATGGTATGTATCATGGGCGAGGAGGAGGAGGAGGTGATAACTACATAGTCCACAGCAATCGCAGCTTCCAGGCGCAGCTCGCACCTCATCCTCCTACCCGGGTTGAGAACGACCATGGCGGCCCAAGATTCTTCCCTGACCAATTGGCCTGCTGTGGCTCGCTATGTTTCAACGCGCAAAGACACCTACCCATTCATCGATCCCGCCCAAGCCGACCTGGCGGGCAAGTCGGTCCTGATCACCGGCGCCTCCAAGGGCATCGGCAAGGCGACGGCGATCCGCTTTGCCATGGCGGGCTGCTCGACGATCCTGCTGCTCGCGCGGTCGGACCTGACCGACGTTGCGACCGCCGTGCACGACGCCGCCAGGCAGGCCAACCGGCCCCCGCCATCCGTGCATTCCCTGAAGGCAGACGTGACGTCGGAAGACTCCATGCGCGCGGCCGCCGCAACCGCAGCCGACATCCTCGGCGGCCGCCTCGATGTGCTGATCAACAACGCGGGCTACCTGGAGGCGTGGAGGCCCATCGCCTCCTCCGAGCCGCGCGAGTGGTGGCGGACGTGGGAGGTCAACATCAAAGGCACCTATCTGGCGGCCCACTTCTTCGTGCCGCTGCTGCTCCGGTCGCCGACCAAGACGGTCGTCAACATCAGCAGCGGGGGGGCGCATGCCATGTTCCCCGGCGCGTCGGCCTACCAGACCACCAAGTTCGCCCTCTGCCGTCTCACCGAGTTCATGGACGCGGAATACGCCCAGCAGGGGGTGATCGCCATCGCGCTGCATCCGGGCGCCGTCCGGACCGAGCTGGCCATGAACATGCCCCCGGAGAGGCAGTCCGTCCTGACCGATTCCCCGGCACTGGCCGCGGACACGCTGGTCTGGCTCGCCCGCGACCGGCGCGACTGGCTTGCCGGCCGGTTCGTCTCGGTGAGCTGGGACATGGAGGAGCTGGAGCAGAAGAAGCAGGACGTGCTCCAAAGAGACTTGTTCAAGTTTCGCGTGATGGTTTGAGTCGCACGGCGTGATCCCCGCCTCATCATTCTCTCAGCAACCGGATATCTTAACAGGACTCGAGCTCGGGTTCCACGACGAGCAGAGTTTCAGGACTGTGGTCGCAGAGCCAGGTCGGGAATTGTTTATTTTCTATTTTTTTTTTTTTTTTTTTTTTCTGAAGGAGTTGATATTCAGCATCCAAGGGGGGTCCAAGATCCAAGTTTGGATCTTGGTGGATCGTTTTTGGGGAACAGTGTCAGGTCTATTTTAAGCCCATTACAGTTTCTGTTCCCAGGGCCTTTTGGGTGATCTCTGGGATGATCGATGTGAGCACCCTTGGGAACAGTGTTCGGAGTTACAGCATCTCTGCCAAAGACAAGCCATAGGCTCCTGGGACCAAGCGGTGTCTGTGTGAGGATCTCACGTATTGTATACATCTGTGTTGGACTAGCGAATGGTTACAATTCCTGCCGCTATCTTTGTGGTTGTGTTGATGCTATGTTCCAACGCTCTGGTGCTGTAGTCTTAGTTCATGAACTCAAAGCGGTCTTACAGCCAAAGCAGGAAGAAACAGCGGCAGAGAAAGGGTCTGGTGAAGATCGACTGCAATTCCAACCTTCAGGAGTGATCGACAATACCCTCGAGTATAGGTATTCGAAAGACGTGGGTCTTTTGGGATGTACGATAGGAGGGAAGGGGCGAGGAGGCGTTTCGCGCGGCCGTCGCTGGATATTCGGGGGAGACGAGGAGGATCTTGCGGTGTGGCTGGATACGATATCGCGCGCATGAATGCCATGGATTGTAGACTTGGGTTGGTGTGGGTGACAAGATATTGCTTCTTTTCTTAAAAGTATACAGATTTGACCACAAGCGGACCCCTTCTCTTATTATTTTCGGTCTTACCCTTGTGCTTCCACCCTCTTCAACCCCAAATATACAGTCCATCAATGAATAAGACGAATATACGCTATGCGCCAGATACAGTACGATCATAAACCCCTCTCATTGAGAGAAAGCCTTGAATACGATAGTATGTGGAGTACCACGAATCCCAACCTCAACCCACCCCAAAAGAAAACAAGATACAAAACTTGCACAGATCAAGAAGACCCCTTCAACGCCCCATCCTCCTTCCCTGTCACTTGACCCTCGTTGGTTATGGTTTTTAGGTCTGCGCTGGAGGTGGGCGATAATTGATGCTGGCAGACGGTGGTTTCCCCCCGCGGCGGGAGGGGGGGGGGCACAACTTGCCCGGTATGATATTCTATGCAGAATCTCAGGTAAGCTGGCATTATCTTCCGTGCTCTACGTTTGGCGACGAATCCCTACACAATCCGTGCCATGTATGGAACGTATGGTTGAATGGTTTGGTGGTTCATCGGTTTCAGTTTCAAGTACTGGGAGTAAGTAAGTACGGTGATACTAGTACGCAACTCGAACTACAGCCATGCATGCATGCAAACAAACTCATATTATTTATCTTTATGGTATAAAACAACCCAATCAGACCCCTATGCCACTTTTATTCTTGCCGTTGAAGACAATGCTTTTGAGCCCCATTGTTAAAAAAAGACCCCGTTTTATTTGTTTCGTAACATCGTGACCATGTTGAAAAACTCTAGCCGTTCAGGGTATACCGAAATCAATGCCGAACAGGTGTGTATGCGGTGGACACAAAGAAAAGGAAAGACTCGCTTAGTAGCGGTAGTGGTCGGCCTTGAAGGGACCGGTGACCTCCAGACCAAGGTACTCGGCCTGGACGGGGGTGAGCTGGGAGAGCTTGCCGTTGACATGCTCCAGGTGGAGGAGAGCGACCTGCTCGTCCAGAACCTTGGGCAGGACGTAGACGCCGACGGGCTTGCGGCCGGTGGTGCCGAACTCGACGTACTTCTGGCCGAAGGCAACGTCCTCAGCCTTGAAGAGGGCGATCTGGGCGAGGACCTGGTTGGAGAAAGAGCAGGACATGACGAAGGAGGAGTGGCCAGTGGCACAGCCCAGGTTGACGAGACGGCCCTCGGCGAGGAGGATGATGTGGTTGCCGCTGGGCATCTCGTAGCGGTCGACCTGGGGCTTGATGTTCTGGACGGACTTGGCGTTGGCCTTCAACCAGGCGACGTCGATCTCAATGTCGAAGTGACCAATGTCTGAGCCGTTAGCATACCCCTTCCAAACCAGGGAGCGAGGGACTTACTGCAAACAATGGCATCGTTGCGCATAACCTCGAAGTGCTTGCCAACGAGGATGTCACGGCAGCCGGTGGTCGTGACGAAGATCTGACCCTGGGGAGCAGCCTCCTCCATGGTGGTGACCTGGTAGCCCTGGACGGCAGCCTGGAGGGCGTTGATGGGGTCGATCTCAGTGACGATGACGCGGGCACCCATGCTGCGGAGAGCATCGGCACAGCCCTTACCGACATCACCGAAACCGGCGACGACGGCGACCTTACCGGCGATCATGACATCGGTGGCACGCTTGATACCGTCGACGAGGGACTCGCGGCAGCCGTACAGGTTGTCGAACTTGGACTTGGTGACGGAGTCGTTGACGTTGATGGCGGGGACGAGGAGCTTGCCCTCCTTGAGCATGCGGTACAGGTGGTGGACACCGGTGGTGGTCTCCTCGGACAGACCGTAGCAGTCCTTGAGCTGCTCGGGGTACTTCTCGTGGACGAGGGAGGTCAAGTCACCACCGTCGTCGAGGATGAGGTTGAGCTTCTTGCCATCCTTGAAGGAGACGAGCTGCTGCTCCAAGCACCAGTTGTACTCCTCCTCGGTCTCACCCTTCCAGGCGAAGCTAGCGGGCTGTTAGCGTGGGGGACCGTCGGGACGGAGAAAATTCAGGGTCAGCTTACACAGGGACACCGGCGGCGGCAATGGCGGCGGCGGCGTGGTCCTGGGTGGAGAAGATGTTGCAGCTGGACCAGGTGACCTCAGCACCGAGGGCAACGAGGGTCTCGATGAGGACGGCAGTCTGGATGGCTGGGGAAGGTTAGCAGCTGGTTTGGAAACAGTCACCGAGGCGGAACATACTCATGTGCAAGCAACCAGCGATGCGGGCACCCTTGAGGGGCTGGTCCTCAGCGTATCTGCGGCGGATGGCCATGAGACCGGGCATCTCAATCTCGGCGAGCTCAATCTCGCGGCGACCGAAGGCGGCCAACGACTAAAGGATTATCAGGAGGTGATTGTCAAGGATTGATGGGGCAACACATACGATGTCGGCGACCTTGAACTTCTGAGCGGGGGCAGCCATTGTGAGTGTGTGAGGAAGACTAGATGGAGAATTAGCACCAAAGACCGAGATGAACGATGAAGAGAATGATGTCCAGGACAACCTACTAGAAGGATGGGGATAGAAAAAGGGGGGGGGGAGAGATAAGAAAGAGAAATGGGGGGGGGGAGGGAGAAAGGGAGGGAGTAAGAGAAGAGGGGAATCAGGAAGAGAAATAAGTTTGGTGGTGCTGGCGGGGCTGAGCCCAACTTGGGTTGGGTCCGGAGTAACTGTATTGCCGGTCTCGCCGAATCAATCTCCTGCCTACCTGCACTACCCTACGGAGTACATTCCTACACCACACGACCATTGAGCTCAACTAGGTACTCCGTAGTTACTACCTGGTACCTAGTAGCTACCGTAACCCACCCGTACCAATAGTAACGGCATTACACTCTCCCTGCCCCTCCTACGCTTTCTCCCCCTTCGCTAACCTGCAACCCGCAACCCGCCCCTCATGTCTGCGTTGTCCGAAACCTCCGAACTTGGACGGACATGCAGCTGGATCAGCCTGGGATCTGCTCCGACCCACGCCAGCCATTGGCCTGAAGTCCGCCGAAAGAGGGGGAACTAGTCCAGTTTGCACAGTACCTCAGTGGTGCCTCATCCACTCGCAATACCCCCTCTGCAGGTTGACTTCTCAAATCCTCCGGCCCCTTCGCTAAGTGGGCGAACTTATCAGGATCGGATCTTGGGCCCCGTGGGAGATGGCGGTTCGGGGGGTTGAACCTTAGCTCCAATTTTCCACCGCCAACTCGCCGAACGCAAGGGTGAACGTGAACTTGGCACTTCGGATCTCCGGCGGTGGGATGGAAACGATCTTCTACAGTGCACAACCACACGTTGTTATCGTCAAGATCTTCAATCATAACGGATTAATGATGTATACGGAACGCAACTTGATGCTTAAATTCTTCAATTCTTCTGTCGAGGACTTCTTCTATTTTATTGCACTGGCTGACTTGCAGGTGAGAGCACAGCATTCTTGCGCTTCTGCGGAGTACATACAGTACACACAGTCGCCCTCAGTGTCTCCGACTGCCTTCGGATGAACCGTAGACCTATGCAACCACGTCCCAAACACACAACCCTCCCCTCGAGCCTTGCTTCATCGTAGTGGTCGACTCTTCTGCCAGCATGGACCTTTCACACTCCAACCAAATCCCCATCTATCCTAGCCGTCTCAGTCCCTACCCATCATGAAGTTACTTGCAATATCAACCCTCTGCTCCCTGGTGCTCGCCTCCGCCGTGCCCCTCGCCACCAAATCCACCGCCCTCGGAGTAGCCCTCGCAGCAGCACAAAAATCATGTCAAACGCCCGGAGGTATCCAGATCGCGAACCTCGCGTGTCGGAATACTGTACGTTTGTTCTAGCCCCTCAGCAACAGCTGAATGAGGCACGGATCAGGATAAGGCTGATCGGTTAGTGTATTGCCCAAGGCGGAGGCTGGACGGGGGGGTTTTGTGACGACCAGGGGTAAGCACCTATTGACTTTCCCGTCGCTAGCGATCGTACTGAACTGAATATAACTGATGCTAGGATCTGTCACTGTACCTTTCACAATTCGGATGATGGTGATAATGAACAAGCCGAACATAATGAAGCTCCGGCAGGATGACCAGATGGGGAAAATCACACAAAATGCATTCATTGCGCTGCTTGCATATTCCCAATTTGCCTATATAAGCCGTTCGTTCTTGCAGTATACAATTTCATCTCATCATCGCTTAAGAAAACACACGACCTGCACAATCTTGACTCATTATCTCGCAACCAGCGCTAGACCCCATCATTAAACCGATAGAAATTCATCCACCTCTGCGAACAGTCAGTAAAACCCTAGTCTACAAAACAGAAAGGAGCACCCACCTTATCGTACGGCCTCGACGAATCGCAGAACCGGATATCCGTAGCCAGACGGATGACATTATCCGGGTCATTATTGACGGTCGAAGCGTGGATCTAGACCGAAGGATCAGCATGCACTCGCGGGTCATCACGCATCGACAGCGACGAAACATACCATATGGGGCTTGTGTAGGACGATATCCCCGGCTTCGTACGCCGCGACCAGCCAGCGACGACCGTGCTCCTTGGCGAATTCGGCCGGAGCATCCGACAGCAGTGCGTTGGCGGTCATATTCGAGTTGAAGGCCGACCGGGCCTCTTCGTCCGACAGCCCCGCCTGCTTGGCCTTGACTGTGAAGTCGTCCTCGATCTTCTGGCCGACGGAGTCACCTGCGCAGCACGGTAGCAGTTAGCAAGCCATGCCACCCACCTCCCCATGTCACCATGACCTCAAGAAGGACGACATACTATCTTCCAAATAAATCAACCCTCCCCCATTGATCTTAACATCCCCAATGGGCACCCACGCCGTGACACTGGTGGGCTCCCCGTGCCGGATAAAGATCTGATCGTAGTGCACGCCGATGGGCTTGGTGCCTGGGGTGTTGTTGCGCAGCAGGGTGCGCTTGAAGGTGAGGGTGTTGGCGCCCCAACCGGTGAACCTGGCGACGTAGGCGTACAGGGCGGGGTGGTTGCAGAGCTGGTCGACGTACCAGTCCTTGTAGTGAGCCTCGATGGCGCGGTCGACGAACTCGGCCGCGCTGTCGCCGCCGGGCCGCCCGTTGCCGCCAACGCTGGCCGCCCCGATGCCCGGGTAGTCGTCCGCTGACTTGGTTGGGTTGAAGATCCCCTCCACCGGGTCCGACCCGTCCTTCAGCACCCCCGTCGGCGCCAGGTAGTCAAAGTACCGGCGCCGCGTCTCGAGCACGTCCGCCCGCGGGATCACCTGCTTCAGGAAGAGGTAGCCGTCGGCCTCGTAGCGCTGGCGGAGTTCCTCCAGGGGCAGGTTGGGGTCGGAGGGCCGTAGGAGGGCGGCGTTCTCGCTGGTGAGGGGGCCGTCGCTGACGGCGACGGCTTCGTGAAGGACTCCGACCATGGTTATTGTTATTGTTGTTCTGTGTCTGAGGTACCGTATAGATGGGGGGGTTGCCGTTAGTCTTCTGGAGTTGGATGCCCACCTAGCTGGAGGGGGGCTTTATATAGAGGGGATATCCCCGCGCCACGTCCCCATCGTGACGCACTAATGAATAATCTCGAAGGTGTCCAGTGCACGCGTGCAGCTTCCCTGCATTCTGATAAACAGCAAGGCGGCCCTTTAGGGTTTCTCAACCATCTAGAAGCCAAACATTACTCAGGGACTGTTTGTCTGTTCGTATCGGCCCATTCGAACCGAGTCAATCGAGGGCAATTTTCCCCACATCCCGCGTGGAAAATCTCTCTTTTCGACCACCGTCCCTGGACTGCTCCTCCAATGGGAAGATGCGGATTGGGGCGGGCGCGGGGAATACGCCTTCTTTCGGCGCAGAGTGGACACTGGCGGTCCCTTAGTGCGAATAACCAGGTAAGTCGCATGGAATTGTTCCAGTCCAGTATACAGCCCGCAGTATACCCAGTCCACCTCTCGCTTCCAACGCGAAACCATATTGCACTGTATATCAAACCGATCACAGGGTATATTAATAATCTATCGACTCTAAGTCCTCAAGCTCAAACGCATCAGAAGAGAACAAACAATCCAGAACACCCCCAGTAACACCATCTTTCACCTCACCTCCCACCTCCTACGCCGCTACTCCCCCTTCCCATCCACCCACTCCCCAAATTCCCAACCGCCAACCCCCTCCCCAACCGTCAACCGCAACGTCGAAAACTCAATCGACTCATACATCTCCCTTGCCGCGCCCCGAGCCTTCTTATGCCATGGCCCCAACCCGCCGAGCCGAGCATCCTCCCGACTCCGCCAGATGCCTGTCCCAAATCATCAATTAGCCTTCACCATCCCGTGGCCCTCTCAACCCATGGAAAAACCACCCCAAGAGGGGAAAAACTCACAAGTCGCCAAATTCCGATGCTCCGCATCCTTACTCCCAAACCAATACTTCAACAACCCCCCGCTGGCCATCGCTTCCTGATGCGAATGCGCGTCCAGCAGGTGCAGCCGCTCGCCGTCGGCGTCGGCGCGCAGTCGCGAGCGGAAGGTGACCACGTAGAAGCTCTGCGCGGGCCATGATGTTGCATCCTCCTCGTCTTGAGACTGAAGGGCAACAAGCTGCCGCAGAAGCTCGAACACGGAGGCCCAGTTGAAGGACTCCGTGTACGGCGCGGTGGCGTAGTCGGGCCGCGTGGGCTGCAGGATGGTCAGGGCCTGCGCGAGGAGTTGGTTCGCGCGGTCTAGGGTCCGGAGGTCCAGGAGGTGGCCTGGGAGGTTGTAGGGAGAGACGATGAGGTGGGTGTCTGTTGGGAGTGGTGCTGTTGCTGTTGCTGTTGCTGCTGCTGCTGCTGCTGCTGCTGCTGCTGCTGCTGCTGCTGCTGCTGTTGCTGGTTTTAAGGCTGGTGAAAAGCGCAATTGCAGAGCGGCGGCGGCGTGGAATCTCAGGGCGTCGAAGTCGGTGGTGATGAGGCTGTGGTGGTTGAGTTGGAGGGGTGTCTGTGTCTTCGTGGGCAGGATAGCCCGTGCCTCTTCTTCCGCCGACTCGGTGTCGGAGGTGGGATAGAGCGGTTTGCCTATTTGGGGGGCCATTGTTCTCTGTGTCTGTCTTGCGGTTTTATTCCGGTGGTCCGTTGTATAGGATGGGGACTGCCACAATGCTCACGGACAAAGGATGCAGCCTTCGAGGAATGGGGTTGGATTAGAAGAGGGGGGAAGAAGAAAAAGAGCACGAAGCGAGACGCCCTCAGCAATTGAAATAAATCTACGTACCCCCATTTCCATTTCCTATGGTCCGTCCCATTGCCCCCTTCCCATGGGGGAAGATTCCTCCAAAAGCACGCAATATGCCGACAACTCCAGCCGGATCACGAAAAAAAAAAAAAAAAAAAATTTTTTTTTTTTTTTTTTTTTTTTTTTTTTTTTAAAAAGAGGTCCACATAATTCCCCGTGCGTTGAACATGAACCCCTCTCCCCCCTCTTCTCCCCGATATGATCGTCGGCTAGTTTCATGCTTAATATTCCATAAGTCCTGTATTCCCCATAGAGCACGGCTTGATATAGTGTTATATGCCGTAGTACTTCCACATCATCAATCCTAGTGACATCCCGATTAGGGCTCGGGAACTTTCTTTCCCTGACAGTCACACGTTTTGCCGCCAGCAATGGCGACATTTTCATGTCCTGCAGCAATTTAGACTTTATCCCTGTCCCAAGACCACCCGTTAAACTGTCACGAACAAATTTTCTGGTCTTGCGCCACCACTCACGTGTGGGCCCTGTCTTGTTGTTCGCTCTGCAAATCGGCAAGCCAAGCAATTTCACCATCGTCCGTCGGAACCATGGCTTCGGACTGAGTAGTCGGCGGTTGACCACGGGATCTGAACCGACGACCAATCGGTACTAACTACAGAGTACAGTCCAGACTGTAAAATTCCTTTGTTGGGTTCTAGAATGAAAGTGATTGCGGAAGATGAAACTGCCAAGTCTTGCTCTTATTATTGGACTTTTGTCATACAGAATTTCTTGGATTGGTATGGTATCATGCAGGGCTGCCTAGTCTTTTGAAACGCCAGTAAAATGCTCGTGATCACAAATAAGTAGATAAAGAAAAAGCCAAAGCGAGGTGGCATTGAAAATTCTACCGCTTCAGGGGCGGGGGAGGCGGCGCCATCTTGCCGTCGCCGGTGTCGACCTTCTTCTTCGGAGGCATGGCCGGGACCTTGAATCCTCCGTTCTGGCCTTGTGCTGCGGGGTTGCTAGGAGTCTGCTGCCCGCCAACCTGCGTGAAGGTTCCGGACTTGAACCACCGGTCTTCCTCAGCCTTGCGCTTGCGACTCAACTCGGCCTGCACCTTGGGATCAACCAGCTCCAATCCTTGCACCGGCGTAAAAGCGATGGTACTGGCCGTGCCGGCGGATCCACCCAAGGAAGTACCGATCCCCGAAGCCCGGAGACCCCTGGCCTGGAGGACACTGGCAGTTCCGCTGGTGCCGGGTCCTCCACCAAAGGCACGTAGAGAGGTCGAGGTACCACTGACGGGCGTCGCCGTGCCCCATCCCTTGTTGTTCTTGCTGAGCTTGGCCCGGGTCCTCTGGTCGATCTGCGTGGCGCGGATGCGGCCATCGTTCTGCTGGCCAAGCATGCCCAATCCGACCGTTCCTTCTCCCGTGCCATAACCCACCTCCGCTTCTTCCTTGCCAAAGGCAACCCGGTTCTGGGCTTTGCGGAGCTCCGTCATCGCGACGGCCTCCTTGGCCTTGCGGGCCCGCCGACCACCGCGCTTGCGAGAGGGCTTGTCGTCCGGAGCGGGCAGCGCCTTGGCTCCAGAGTTGGGCGCGGGCTCCGTCAACTTCTCCAACCGCTGGAAGCACTGCTGCTTGAGCTCCTCGCCCAGGGAGCCGTCGGGGCTGTAGTTTGAAACATCGGCGCGGGTGGCGAGCACCATCTTGGCCGACACGATGCGGATCGCCTGCCGCTTGAGGTCATTCGGGATCTCGGAGATGATGGGCGAATTGTAGAGGAAGCCCTGCGCCCGGATGCCGTGATTCGTAGCAAATCCCAATCCTTCCTTTCTCTTCGAGCCCTGCGCCCCGAGGTTGCAGGCGGGGATCTTGGCCAGCTCGCGTAGACCACCCGTCTGGTTGAGGAACTGCGCCGCCGTCTCCGGGCCGATCAGCGCCGCCAGGTTGGGCGCGATCTGGCTCATGCGCGACTGGATGCTCTCCGTCAACGCGGTGCGCTCCCGGTCGAGCTTCAAGATCCGCTCGCACGTATCCAGCACCGCCTTCAGCTCCGACTCGGTCATCTCCCGGCCTCGCGTCGTCGTGCCCTCCACCGCCACGACCATCAAGGACGGGCCGTCCAGGACGGACCGCAGCGGCACGCCAACCATGTTATCGGCGGAAGTCGACAGCGCTTTGATGTCGTTGAGCGGGCCGTTCTGGAGGATCGCCACCGTCTTGGCGTAGTCGAGCGGCGTCGTGACGAGCGTCTCGAGCTCGGGGAACCGGATCGAGTAGTGGTCGCGCAGGACCTTGTGGAGCCGGGTCAGTTCGTCTTGGGTCGACAGCGCAACGTCGAACTCGTTGGTGATCTCGGGCGCCGCTGGCTGAGCGAGCTGCTCCTCGTCCACCACCATGTTGTCATCGTCATCGCCATTTCCGTCGTCCAGGCCATCTCCGACCTGGAGATCCTCGTCGTCGTCCTCGAAGTCTCGAAGAAGGTCCTCGACGTTCGACATGATGAAACCTGCTGTGAGTTGTGGTTTATGAATACACTGAGCCGAACTTGGAGATGGCCGACGTTTTGCCCAGAGACGCCACTGACCGCCTAGTGACTAAGCAGAGCGATGTAGCTGGAGGTCTTCGGGTGACGCTGCGGACCAAAGACGCAGGGCTTCCGAATTTGGGTCGGGCGGACAAGTTCTCGATTTCCCCGACATCATCAAACTACGCAGGTGTTGCTAGCTTAGGCACACTGTGAAGATTCTGGGAGAGCTGCTTCGTTGTCGAGACCAATCCTACAAGAGTCCACGCAATACTTCCCTCAGAACACGTCTTCACCCAATTCCAGTGATACCACTTGACAGCTGAGCAGCGGCTCGCGCACACCGGCCGGGGTCCATCACCCGATAACCACCAACCTCCGACAACACCTTCCTCTACAACCACCTCATATCTTCTTTCCCACCTCCATCACCCTCCCAAGACACAATGGAAGCCTCACGCGGCCCCCCGCGGGTCAAGAACAAGGCCGCCGCGCCGGTGCAGATCTCCGCGGAGCAGCTGCTCCGCGAGGCGGTCGATCGGCAGGAGCCGGCGCTGCAGGCGCCGACGCAGCGGTTCGCGGACCTGGAGGAGCTGCACGAGTACCAGGGGCGCAAGCGCAAGGAGTTTGAGGACTATGTGCGGCGCAACCGGATCAACATGAACAACTGGATGCGGTACGCGGCGTGGGAGCTGGAGCAGAAGGAGTTCCGGCGGGCGCGGTCGATCTTCGAGCGAGCGCTGGACGTGCAGCCGACCTCGGTGGTGCTTTGGATCCGGTACATCGAGTCGGAGATGCGCAACCGCAACATCAACCACGCGCGCAACCTGCTGGACCGCGCCGTCACCATCCTGCCCCGCGTCGACAAGCTGTGGTACAAGTATGTCTACATGGAGGAGACCCTGGGCAACATCCCCGGCACCCGGCAGGTGTTCGAGCGCTGGATGTCGTGGGAGCCCGAAGAGGGCGCCTGGAGCGCGTACATTAAGCTGGAGAAGCGCTACAATGAGTTCGAGCGCGCGCGCGCCATCTTCCAGCGCTTCACGATCGTGCATCCCGAGCCCCGGAACTGGATCAAGTGGGCGCGGTTCGAGGAAGAGTACGGGACGAGTGACCTGGTCCGCGAGGTGTATGGGATCGCCATCGAGACGCTGGGCGAGGACTTCATGGATGAGAAGCTGTTCATTGCCTATGCCAAGTTCGAGGCTAAGCTGAAGGAGTATGAGCGGGCCCGCGCGATCTACAAGTACGCTCTGGACCGGTTGCCGAGGTCCAAGTCGATGGCGCTGCACAAGGCGTACACGACGTTCGAGAAGCAGTTCGGTGACCGCGAGGGCGTGGAGGATGTCATCCTGTCGAAACGCCGGGTGCAGTACGAGGAGCAACTGAAGGAGAACGCGCGCAACTACGACGTATGGTTCGACTTTGCCCGGCTGGAGGAGACGTCGGGCGACCCGGACCGGGTGCGCGACATCTACGAGCGCGCCATCGCGCAGATCCCCCCCTCGCAGGAGAAGCGGCACTGGCGGCGGTATATCTACCTGTGGATCTTCTACGCGATCTGGGAGGAGATGGAGGCCAAGGATGCCGGGCGGGCGCGGCAGATCTACAACGAGTGCCTGAAGCTCATCCCCCACAAGAAGTTCACCTTCGCCAAGATCTGGCTCCTGAAGGCGCAGTTCGAGATCCGCCAGATGGACCTGCCGGCCGCCCGCAAGGCGCTGGGCCAGGCGCTGGGCATGTGCCCCAAGGACAAGCTCTTCCGGGGCTACATCGACCTGGAGCGGCAGCTGTTCGAGTTCGTGCGGTGCCGGACGCTGTTCGAGAAGCAGATCGAGTGGAACCCGTCCAACAGCCAGTCGTGGATCAAGTACGCCGAGCTGGAGCGCGGGCTGGACGATACGGAGCGCACGCGCGCCATCTACGAGCTGGGCATCGACCAGCCGACCCTCGACATGCCGGAGCTGGTGTGGAAGTCCTACATTGACTTCGAGGAGTACGAGGGCGAGTACGACCGCGTGCGCTCCCTCTACGAACGTCTGCTCGAGAAGACCGACCACGTCAAGGTGTGGATCAACTACGCCCGGTTCGAGATCAACGTGCCGGACGAGGAAGAGGAAGAAGAAGAGGAGGAGGAGGAGCGGCCCGTCAGCGACGAGGCCAAGCGGCGTGCCCGGGCGATCTTCACTCGCGCACACAAGGTGTTCAAGGACAAGGAACTCAAAGAAGAGGTACGTGTCTTGTCTCCCCCGGTGACGTTGTTAATCAAGCTAACGCCCCCATTCCTGCAGCGCGTGGAACTCCTCAACGCCTGGCGCTCGTTCGAGCACACGCACGGCTCCCCCGAGGACATCGACAAGATCGAGAAACAGATGCCGCGCCGCGTCAAGAAGCGGCGCAAGCTCGACGACGACCGCTACGAGGAATACATGGACTACGTCTTCCCCGCGGACGACCAATCGGCCGCCAACCTGTCCAAGCTGTTACAGAAGGCGCACCAATGGAAGCAGCAGCAAGCCGGGGGTGCGTAGGGTTGGGGCGTGGATGTACGTACATAGCATTAATCATGAATGGACTTGCAGCGTTGCACTTTCCTCATCATTGTCTAGCAGTTAAGATTGTAGAGGCCAAGGTACTGTAGAAGAAAGTAAATCTTCCAATCCTCATCTCCAATCTGTTTTCATGTACTGATAGCGCTAAATTATCTCCCAAGTCAACAATTGGGACGATGGCGCATCTGGGAGCGCGTCAGACTGAAGTACCAACTTCGGCCATTAATCTGAAGGTGGCCGGTTCAAGCCCGGCTCGTCCCATTCTGTTTTTTTTTTTTTTTTTTCTGTCGGATGTGGGGCCCGCAAGGCCAGTTCAATCGAAACCGGTGGAAACCTCGCCACCATCCCGATAATTTTCACCCTCTTGCTCGTCCTTTTGCCACTTGCTGGGTCCTGTACAAAGTTCTTGCGTCATTGTTAGAGCTTTCTTCTATGCTTCCATGTGTAAGCTCATCCATCCTTTGGGGCGAGGGTGATGGAATTGGTTCTCTGGGCTCGTAATTGACGACGTTGCCGGCGTTCCCGCTTTTTGCGTAGGCGTCTGAAAATATATAGTACTGTAGCACAGAATATGACCACCGCCTTAGGCAATGATAGATATGAAGAGCATTGTACCAGAACCGAAAGTAATAATTCGACAATATGAATGGATCAAACCTAATCTAACAGCATATCTATCTTCTATGCAGAACGGAAAAAAAAAAGCGTGAGATTTTTCTATGCTCGTCTTTCGTAACTCAATCCCGCATGACGCATCACATATCCGAAAGCCAAAAGGCAGAAACCGTATCGACACGAGAAACTATATATAAAAACCCAAGCGCTTGCAAATAACCAAATTAAAGATGTGCACAACACGCAGTTTATGCCCCTTAAATCATTTTTTTCCCCATCGTAGCTAGAGTACCAACGTATCCAGGTCAAAGGGGGATGTGGGTAGCCCCGATCTAGTCCACATACTTCGGCAAGGTCTTGAGGATGCCGTCGCGGTCGATCTCCTCCATGGCCTGGGTGATCTGGGCCAAGAAACGCTCGTCGCTGCGCAGATCGTCGCCGAAGAGGGTCTTGATGCTGAGCAGCTCGTGGGGCTTGGTACCGCCGGCGCGGGCCTTGGCCTGCAGCTCGTCGCGCATGGGATCGTCGACCGCGAACTGGTTGCCGGCGTCGTCGACGCCGTTGACGTAGCGGAACCAGGCGGCGGCGACGAAGCACAGCTTCCTAAAGGGGGCCTTGACCCAGATGGCCTCGGCGATGGAGGGCATGATGAACTGCGGGATCTTGCCGGAGGCGTTGAGGCAGATGCGCGGCAGCTGGTCCATGATGGTGGGGTTCTCGAAGCGGCCCATGAGGGTCTTGCAGTACTCGTCGATGTCGACGCCCGGGATCTCTGGGAGCAAGGGCTTGACCTCGTCCTGCATCATCTGCCAGACGAACTTGTTGAAGGTCGGGTTCTCCATCACCTCGTGCACGTACTTGAAGCCCGCCAGCTGGCCCGGATACCCCAGGGCCGAGTGGCTGCCGTTCAGCAGGCGCAGCTTGTGCTTCTCGAACTGCTCGACGTCGTGGACGTTCTTGACGACCTGCACGCCCACCTTCTCGAAGGGCGGGCGGCCGTCGGCGAACTGGTCCTCGATGACCCACTGCATGAACGGCTCGGTGACGACGGGCCAGCTGTCCTCGATGCCGAACTTGTCGGAGAGGGCGGTCTTGTCGGCGGCGGAGGTCTGCGGGGTGATGCGGTCGACCATGGCGTTGGGGAAGGCGCCCTGCGTGGCGATCCACTCGGCGATCGTGGGGTTCTTGAGCCGTGCGAACGACTCCAGCATGTGGCGCGTGATGGAGCCGTTCTTCTGCATGTTGTCGCACGACATCACCGTAAACGGCCGGAGGCCCTGCTGGTGGCGGCGGGCCAGCGCGGCGTACAGGAAGCCGAAGGTGGTGCGCGGGGCGGTCTCGTGGGCGGGGTCGAGGTCGTACAGGATGTCCGGGTGCTCGCTCTGCAGCTCGTGGGTGTTCTCGTTGTAGTAGTAGCCGCTCTCGGTGATGGTCAACGAGACGATATGTGTGTCGGCGTGCGCCATCTTGGCGATCACCGCCTCGCGGTCGTCGGGTGCGAACAGGTACGAGTTGATCGCCCCCACGACGTGCGCGAAGCTCCCCTTGGCCGACCGCTCGATCACCGTGTACAGGTGGTCCTGCGCCCCCAGGGCATCGCGCATCGCCGCGTCAAACGGCTGCAGTCCCACGCCGCAGATGGCGTAGTTCTTCTCCCCGTGCTTCTGCATCAGCTGGTCGACGTACACGGCCAGGTGGGCGCGGTGGAAGCCGCCCACCCCGACGTGGACGATGCCCTCCTTCACGGCATCCCCGCGCTGGTAGGTCGGTACTTGGACCTGGTGCGCGCCGGCGGCGGAGGCGATCTGTGAGAGGTTCTGGTTGCTGAGCTTGAGGGGGGCCATTGTGTGTGTAGGGAGTAGTTTTCGGGGGTAATTGAGAGGAGAGGAGAGGGGAGTTAGAAGGGAATGACACAGGAAGAGTAGGAAAAAGTTGGGATAAGGCAAAGAAAAAGGGGTGTGATAAAGTTTGTTGGTCAGGTGGAAAGAAGACACAGACTCACGCAGCTTCACCGCCGCTTTTTCTAACTGAGTTGGACAGCATTACATCATGCAATGGGCATGTAGTGGGGAAAAGCACAGGCAAATAGCAGAGGCGGCGGTGGAGACCTTTTGTGGAGGCGGTTATCGAGCTGTTATCAGGGCTTTTTTGTTGGTGTCTGTGCTTTGCAATCCATAATCAATAAAGAACCTCCTTGCGTCAGAGCTCCGAAACTCCGAACAATCCAGAACGCTTCTTCCGTGCTTCGGTGCAATCTCTACCCGCCCAGAGTGTTAGACCCGGGTTAAGAGTCGAAAGTAGAACTTTAAGCATTATCTTAGATTATCTTATATTAGCACAGCATAAGTCCCGATGCTAGGGCAAGCCCTGGCTGTCATGTGATGTCGCCAGCTGTGCCTGAGGCAGAACACGCCATCGGTCTACCATTGCTCGCTGCCACTATTTTCTTTCTGGAATAGAAACCATGCAAATCATGAGTACTTGGCCTAATCTACTCCTTAGCCTTTCTATATTCCGCATCAGGCTAATGGTGCTTATTCTCGTAGTAGTGAGACTCCTTCCAGCCCGAGCATAGTCTCGCGCTTCGAGCCGCCTGGATTCTGTAGTTGCTGCCATCTGCCCCACTCCTGACTATATTGCCCAAAAAGGCTATTCAGTCGGGTTCAGGAGAATCTGGCCCCTACTCATACTTAGAACCGACTGTGGGACCTCGTCAACAATCTTCAGTAAGGCGCTTTTCTGTCTACAGCAGTTTGTCCGCACTCCAAAATCCCCATTCCACTGTATAAGTATCGCCAGGTTGCCTGATAATAATTCTGGCAATCGGTTGATCAGCTGTCTATACAGATCTCGTTAAAACAAAAATGGAAGATTACCTGAATAGGTAAATGTCTAGGCGGATTCTTGAAACCGACTTTACGTATATAACCAAGGTCACGAGCCTGCTTAGAATATACTGAGACGATATCCCGATATCCCTGGTATAAAACTATTGATATGCCTTTCCCGATTCAATTGTTATAACGAGGACTTGCAGTTTGAGGATGAAATAAGCATGGCTCGTTGCTTATCATATGGTTGATCTGAAGTAGAACAATGGATGCATGACACATTATCTCTCAGGCAAGATATACAGATCATAGCGATGACTATTTTCCAGAGGGACCAGTCTTAAGTATGGTATCTTGCTACAGCGCTTTCCCAACGGGTCCGAGAACCCTCACTCGTCGTCCAACTCGCCATCAGCCGCAATGTACGCGTACAACGCAGTCGCCTCCTCATCGCGTTTGTCCAGCTC